GCCTGACCCCTACCTGAGCTACAGTCCCAAGGCTCAAACCCAGGAAGGCAGGGAGCAAGGGGAGTACTTGGTGCTGTGGTCACCCAGGAGCACTACTACCTCGTGTGTTACACAGCCAGAACCCAGGCCTCCTCACTGCATGCCTGGACTCAGCGACCCCGTAGCTCACAAGCTGTTTAGGGACCCAGGTGTCCAGGGCTCAGATCCGGCTAGCTCTAGCCTGCCCCCAGGGGCCTCTTCAAACAGCTGTCACTGAAGAACCTCTCCAGCCAGTCACTCTTGCCAGGCCTCAGGTCTGGCTCCAGGGCTCACCCCACCCTCCCCAGCTTCTTCCCTCCCTCTTCCTTCCTTTCCTTCCCCATCCCCCTTCCCCAGAGCTTCACCTACCCAGGACAGCCCCACCCAGCTGCGCTGGGCACATCCCATAATAATCCTTCTCCTTGCGAGCCCCCACCCCCCCCCAAAAGAGAGGCGGCCATCCCATAATAGCCACCCACAAGAGACATTCCGCGGTGACCGCCCCCTCCCTGCAGAGCTGCCGGGAGCAGCCATCCCATAATAACTGGCCGCCTGTTTTACTGGTTACGGCTGTGGAGGGAGCTGGAGAGGAAATGGAGGGGAGGGGGAAGGGGAGAAGGATCGAGGGCCCCCACTTTGGGGAAGGGGACGGAGAGTGACCCACGGGGATGGGGAGCCTAGGGGACGCCGGACAGGTGGGAGGTGTGGTCCACTGGCCACCACATCCCCACTTTGGGACCTTCTCCCCATCCCCAGGGGCTTCCTTTCCCCCTCAGCACCCGCGAGGTGGCTGCTAATTAGGCGGGATGCCTAGGATGGGTTGAGGTGCCCACAGAGCGAGTGGGGGGGTGGTAGATTTCAGGTGTTCTCCTTGGGCCATTTGCGAAAGAAGGCAGACCTTAGAGAGGATGGCAAGAGAGTAAGGGGTGTCGGGGGGGGGCGGTGGGAGAAGAGCGCCTCAGGCCCTCCCCATTCTGCACCACCATCCCATAATAATCCCCCAGCCCCTCTCCCCCTCCCACACACGACATCCCATAATATCTTCTGGAGAAGCAGTCCCCGCAGTAGGTACAAAGAGCTATCCCATAATATGCTCCCCCACCCCCACTCGCCCCCCCCCCAACCTGGCCCCCCCCCTCGGTCACATGCAGCCGGTGCCATCCCCCGCTGCTCCCCCCTCTGGCCACCGAAGGCCTTGCCAGCCCATAATACTCTTGCCTCTGGTCGCAGGAGGCCTCCAGCCCATAATATTCCCTTCCACCACCACCCCCCCTTCCCGCCCCGCACCCCTTCCTCCCGCCTCCAGTTGGAGCCGGGCCTCACCAGCCCATAATATTCCCCTGTCTCCTAAGGCTGTTCCAGCCCATAATACTCTCCCTGTCTCCTAAGGCCTCTCCATCCCATAATACTGCCAGACGCCTGACCTGTGGGCCAAACCCCAGCCCGTTCCACACATCGAGGCTGTGTCAGCGCCGCCGGTCTCCCAGCCTGTCCCTCCCTCCTCCCTCCCCAGCGCTCTCCCTCCCAGGCTGTCTCCCGCCCTCGGGCCCTGGGCCCCTCTCCCGGCCCCACCCTGTGCCTGCCTGGGCCCTCACTTCCCCTCCAGCCTCCTCTTTTGCCCTTTCTCCCTTGATTGGTTCTTCATCCCATGGCCCCTCTCCTCTCCCTTTCAGGCACTTTCCCACCCACTCTTCTGTCTGTGGGGTGGACAGCAAGGCCGGTGGGGAGAGAGTGCCCCCAGAGGGCGACAGGCCAGTCACTGCCCCTGCCTCCTTGACCAAGCACCATGGCAGCTGGCCCAGCCTGCCTCGCTCACCCATCCCTGGCCCTGGTTCTGATTGCCCGCAGAGCTCTGTCTGGGTGAGGATTCACCTGGAACCCCTGCTGTCTTCCAGAAACACTCCCGCTGAGCATCACAAGCAGACTTTACTAACAGCATCTTCTCCCCACACCCTGGTTGGAAAGAGAGATCCACCTTATGGGATGTCTCTCAGGTGCCTTTCAAAGGTGACCTCATTGACCCTCACTACAACCCAATAAGTAGATATTATGATCCCCATTTCACAGAAGAGAAAATGGAGGCTCAGAGAGGTTAAATAGCTTCTAAGGTCACGTTGCCAAGAAGTGACAGAGCTGAAATTAGTACCCAGGTTTGTTTGATTGCGAAGTTCTGAGAGCCTTCGGGATTCCCCAAGCCCCTGGGAGAAACTTCACTTTTCAGTGTTTCCAGGGCTCCTCTGGAAAAGATAGCATGGTGACAGCTCCCCAGCCTCCCTTGTCTCCAGGGTCTCCTGAAAGAAGGGAGAAGGAAGGCTCCATGTGAGATTAACCTCCCCCTCCCCATTTCTTCCAGGGAACCCCAAGTGGCAACCCCACAGGGACTTCCCTCAGGACGGTCCAGGGCTAACAAGCATCTCTTCCCTTTTAGGATCACTTACCTTTCCCTTGGTTCTCCTGAACTTTTTGTTTTATCTCAAGACCAATGATTGTTAATCTTCCCCCAACTGCTCTCAGTGCATGGAGGGACCATTCTACGGAGGAGACAGACTTTGAGGAGAACCAAGGGGAAGTATCCTCTTCAGTTTAGCTGGTGGACAATCAGGAATTCGCTGTCTTGGAGATGTTGGGTACATCCCAGCTGGGGGAGGGGAGTCATGGCCAAGTGCCTGAAGGCTGAGCCATCCTGCCTTGGGTGCCACCCATGAGCCATTCCCTTCTGAGCCCTCGATGCGGTGTGTTTTAGGACCCACCACCACTGGAACCATGAATGAGCCCAGTTCTCAGCGCTCACACAGCCACACCGGGAAGGGGCAGGTATGCTGTAGGGTGCGTGGGTTAGGAGCGGGGAGGAAAAGCTGCACAAGGTGGCCAGAGATGACACAGTAGACTCAAGGTGAGAGAGTGGTGGCCTACATGAGGAGGGAAGGAGAGGAAAGGAAACCAGGGAGCGGTGGGTGTAAGGGAACCAGGGATGGGAAGGTGGGCAATAAAGGAAGGGGAGACACTGTAGGGTGTCCTGCAAAGAGTAGGAGTTCCAGAGTCTAACAGATACTGTGCCACTTCCTGCTTGTGTGACCTTAGACCTCAGCTTCTCCGGGGTGTTTCATCTGTAAAATGGAGATAATCATCATTCCTAACTCAGAAGGTGATTATAATAATAAAATAAAATAATTCATTTTAAGCACTAAATTGAGGTCTTGGCATAGCAAGTATTTTTACAACTTGTTAACGCTCTTCTTCCAGCATCTAAGATTTTATCCTTTTCCTCCTTTCGATTTTCCTAAGCCTCAAAGTGGCAAGTAACTCCAGGGCACGGGGTGAGGGCTCTGGATTTCCCACATCTCACCCCTGTCATACTGGCCACCCAGTAGTTGGGGGATCCTGTGAAAATGGCAGGCAGTGGCTACAGGCTTCCTTAAACTTCCTGTTAGCGTTAGCTTCTGTTCATTCCTCCTCTGCCTGCAACATCTCCTGATTCTATTTTTTTTTAATACTTATTTATTTTGGTTGCATGGGGTCTTAGTTGTGGCAGGCAGTCTCCATAGTTGCAGGATGTGGGCTCCTTAGTTGCAGCACATGGGCTCCTCAGTTGTGGCACGTGAACTCTTAGTTGCGGCATGCATGTGGGACCTAGTTCGCTGAGCAGGGATCGAACTCGGGCTCCCAGCATTGGGAGCGCAGAGTCTTATCCACTGTGCCACCTGGGAAGTCCCATCCTGAATCTATTCTTGCCTCTCTGTCTCCAGGATGGAAACCCTTTGGATATACTGAATGTGGGGAAACAGTCCACCAGAGCTTAAACAGAGGGGATTCCACACTGAAGAAAATTCATTTCCATCTGCCCCACAGGCCGCGAGCACACTTCTCCTAGACCAGCTCCCTCACCAGTCTTTCCTTCCCCTTAGACTCTCCCCACCTCGTTTCCCTACAGCTTATCTCACCCAGTGTGTCAGGGTGGGCAAAATCTCACTGAAGAACTTACAGAGGGGCTTCCCTGGTGGCGCAGTCGTTAAGAATCCGCCTGCCAAAACAGGGGACACGGGTTTGAGCCCTAGTCCGGGAAGATCTCACATGCCGCGGAGCAACTAAGCCCCTGTGTCACAACTACTGACCCCGCGTGCCACAACTACTGAGCCCGCGTGCCACAACTACTGAAGCCCGCGCACCTAGAGCCCGTGCTCCGCAACGAGAGAAGCCACCGCAATGAGAAGCCTGCGCACCGCAATGAAGAGTAGCCCCCGCTCGCCGCAACTAGAGAAAGCACGCACGCAGCAATGAAGACCCAATGCAGCCAAAAATAATAAATAAAATAAATATATTAAAAAAAAACTTAAAAAAGAAAAGAACCTCCAGAGACGGCCCACTGCCTACCAAATTAACAGCCAGAGCCTTACTTTGCATTCTTTCATCTTCCATCTTGAATGATAATTATTGTTGACTTGTTCTGTGGTCCCCACTAGATAGTAAACTACTTCACAGAGAGATTCAGCTGTTCTTTACAGCAGTAATTAATGCAACATTGTAATTCAACTATACTTCAATAAAAAATAAATTTAAAAAAAGATTCAACTGTTCATCATTCAACAAATATTTAAGTACTTCTTTTACGCCAGGCGCTGTTCTAGATGCTGGGGATACACCAGGAAACGGACCAAGCAAAAATCCCTGCCCCCAGGGAGCTTACATTCTACTTCGGGGGTGGGGTGGGGGACAGAAAATAAACTATAAAAGTTACAATAAATAAATAAGTAAATTATATACTATGTTAGAAGAAACTTGCTATGTGAGTTTTAATTACTTTGGAATTCATTCACATTATCTTCATATAAAAATACTCAAGTAGGGCTTCCCTGGTGGCGCAGTGGTTGAGAGTCCGCCTGCCAGATGCAGGGAACATGGGTTCGTGCCCCGGTCTGGGAAGATCCCACATGCCGCGGAGCGGCTGGGCCCGTGAGCCACGGCCGCTGAGCCTGCGCGTCCAGAGCCTGTGCTCCGCAACGGAAGAGGCCACAACAGTGAGAGGCCCGCGAACCGCAAAAAAAAAAAAAAAAATACTCAAGTAATTTTTAAAAATTGTATTCTGTTCAGTTTGGATAGGGCAAAGTCCTGAGACTTTGGACGGTGATGACGTTTGGTGCCCCCAGGGATGGAAGGGCATGGGTCCTGAACCCTAAGGATGGAGCAAGATGGAGCAGGTGCTAACCATCAAGCCCTCTCTAGAGCAGCAGGAGGTGAGGGCTCTAACCCGCCAGATGGAGGAAAGCCCGACTTCACGACTATCACTGAGGAATCTGGGTCAGTTCTCCGGTTTGGCCACCAGGGGTCATTTTACCCTTGTAAATCACCATCTGGAGCGATCACGTAAAGACACAAAAGTCTTAGTCCGAACTAAACACACAGAGACACACCCGGGAAAACTCTGACACTGTCACACACACACACACGCACATATACAGAAACATACAGCATTGAGAGACATAGGGACAGAAATGCATGCAGGACGTGTGCATGGCACCAACTCCCTCACGAATCTCACTAATGTCAGGGTCTCAAGATGTCACAGTGCCAACTCCGCCATTCCTCCCAGCCCCGACTCCGCTAAAGAGGGAAGACAGTAGGTGGCCTGTAAACCAGACTTCCATTTCCTTACCTCCAGCTTGCCAAGAGCAGTCAGCTTACTCCCGTCCTCCCGTCCATCACACTCTTACTTTCCCATAAACTTCTTGTCTGGCTCTGGCACAGTTCCCTTTTCCCTGCCCAGAGAAGCCCTCCACCTCCTCCTGAGTATCTGTGCAACTAGTTCCAGCCCCACCTCCCGCTGCAGCTCCAGGAAGCCCCAGGTGGTGTTCACTGGGTGTGCAACTCCTCCCCCCCCGCCCCGAAAACCCCAAGCCTTACGGACTACAATTAGCAATTGATTTGCTGAGCATTGCCCTCTCCTTGCAGCGATAAAAAACAATGTACATAATGGCCTGGGAAGACTTTACACATGACTCTAATACTCCAGTACAGGTATGGCTCTCCAAGTGTGATCTGAGGATGGATTCTTTGAGGAAGTCCACGAGAACAAAACCGTTTTCATGATACTACTACTAAGATGTCTTTTGTCCTTTTCACTCATTGTCTCACGAGTAGACGGTGGAGTTTTCCAGAGGCTTCATGAAGTGTGATGACACTTGCTCTCATAGCTATTGGAATGTGTGCTTGGGTATTTCTGTTTTAAAAAACTTACTATTTTTGATTTCTAATATGGTCATGTATCAAAAGGACAAAGTATAAGCAAACTCTCTTTGGAATTCTCCATTTTTAAGAGTGTAAAAGGGTCTGAGACCCCAAAATTGGAGAACTACTACTTTAGTACAGAGAATGTTCTCCTTATTCTAGACGAAGCAGCAGAGACACACACACACGGTGGTGGTGGGGGTGGATTTAGGATCTAGAATGGAGGAGCTTTTGAAAGGGTGGGTGAGGTGGAAGGGGAAGACAGGACCTAGAAAGGGGAACAGTGACCAGGAACTTGGAGGAAAACCCCCTCTGCCCCGACCCACCCACGCTGGGCGTCAGATCTAAATTGTTAAAAGTCACTAGACAAGAAGGAAACCAATTCAGCCGGCATCCAATACGCTTTTGCATTACGCCTCAGTGCTGGGCAGGCAGAGCCCAGGTGGAAAGGGGAGTGGGTGGCGTCCATGGCCCGAAGACCTCTGTGGTCGGTCTAAACGCAGGACACCCATCTTCTGCTCCAGCTACCAGCTACGGGCCGGACCGTGTTTCATGCCCCGCCAAGGGCATTTCACCCAGTCTCCCGCCTCTGCACGGGCAGGCTCACGGCAGCACTTCCTAGGTACTAAGGAAGAGGTCCTTCTGCGCTCGCCATCACCACCTAGTTAAAGACATTTGCAGCCGCGCTCTTCCTTCCCCGGGCCCCTGCCCCCCACACTTTGTTCCCTCCTGCATCTGTGAGCTGGAGCTGCCGCTCAGAAGTCCAAGTGCCCAACCCACCGCCCTGCTGTGCACACACCCTGCGTGTCTGCGAGTGCGAGAGGCGTGGGGGCGGGGTGAGGGGACCGCGCTCTGGCACGACGTGCGTTCAGAGGGACGAGTCCTCGGGGCACCGGGTGAAGGAGCCCCGGGGGTCGGACGGCCGGAGCAGCCCCTGGCTGGCGGCGGCCGGCACGGTGGCGTGGGAGGTCTCAGCGGTGGGTTTGGCGAGTGCCCCCCGAGCCCCGTTGGTGGCCGAGGTCCTGGCCCGGAGCGGAGAGCTCAGGCTGCGCAGGGTGTTGCGGAAACCCTCGGCGCTGAAGTAGTACACCAGCGGGTCGAGCACGCAGTTGGCGCCGGCCAGCAGCACCATGACCATCAGCACCCCGCGCACCTGGTTGCGCGCCACCGGGCTGGCCAGCACCACGTGGCCGCGCAGCAGCCCGTACACGGCCAGCGTGGCGTTGTAGGGCACGAAGCACAGCAGGAAGATGACCAGGCTGGCCAGCAGGAGGCGCACCGTCTTCCGCCGCCGCTGGCTCCGCGTGGCGTCGGGCCGCGCCAGGGTGCAGAAGACACGGACCGAAGAGTAGACCACGGCTACCAGGGGCAGCAGGAATCCCAGCGCCTCGGCTAGCAGTAGGAGCGGCAGCAGCCTGCCCTTCCACAGCTCGTCGCTGAAGTTCTCGAAGCACACGTGCACCCAGCGGCCGTCGCGGGCGCAGGGTGAGGGCCGGTGCACCAGGACGGTGGGCACGGCGAACAGCAGGATGAGTGCCCACACGCCCAGGCAGAGCAGCCGCGCCACGCGGGGCCGCCGCAGGTGGCGCAGCCGCAGCGGGTGCACGATAGCGACGTAGCGGTCCACGTTGATGAGGGTCAGGAAGATGCAGCTGCCGTACATGTTCATCTGGAAGACGGCGCCCGCCAGCTGGCACAGGAGGTCCGAGAAGGGCCAGTAGTGCTGCGCATAGTAGGAGAGGCGCAAGGGCAGCGAGAGGGTGAAGAGGAGGTCGCTGGCCGCCAGGTTGCACATGTACACGCTCACTACCGAGTGCACGCGCAGCGCGTGCAGGAAGACCCAGAGGGCCAGCGCGTTGAGGGGGAGCCCTGCCGCCAGCACCAGGCTGTAGACCACCAAGTGCAGGTGGTGGATGGGCTGGTGGTCCGGGCACCTGAGATCAGAGTCGTTGGCCGAGGAGTTGGCCAGCATCGTGCCAAAGGGCGAGGAGGAGCTAGGCCGGGGGCATCAGGGGGCACACCTGCGTGCTGGCTTCGCGTTCATCTCCAGTCTCCACGGCGGGGGCCTGGAGGCTGCACAGAGCCCCAGAGCAAGCGGGGGCCGGACATAGACTTGTGGCTGTGGCTGCAGGGCCGACAGCTGCGGAGGATCAGATGCCCTTGGTCAGAGCTTCATCGGCCTCAGTGGAGACCTGGCATAGGAGGGAAGGCAGAAGTCAAGACTGTGCAAGGAAGGGCTGAAGACACAAATGTCATATAGCTGAACCTGCTGGCCTCTTGGGCCTTCTCTCAGCCTCACATCTTTCCTCCACCGTCCTTCTGGCCAGAACAGCTTTCTGCAGCCCGCTCTATGGCACAGTGCTAAATGCCCAGGCTCTAGAGTCAGGCCTGCCTAGGTTTAAATCTGGGCTTTTGTCCTCAGAAAAGTGACTTAATCTCTCTGCCCCTCATTTTCCTTACCTGGAAAAAAGAAAAAAAAAAGGAGAGGGACCCCTACTTCACGAGGTCGTTAGATTCAACGAGATGATATATTTAAAGTGCTTTGCTTACTGTTATTATCTACTAATATCTCTCCCTTGCTTCCTTTCTTTCTTCTACAAATGCTTACCAAGATTTTATTTTTTAAATTATTATTATTATTATCATTTTGGCCTCGCGGCATGCAGGATGTGGAACCTTAGTTCCCCGACCAGAGATCTAGCCTGTGCACCCTGGAGTGGAAGCCCGGAGTCTTAACCACTGGACCACCAGGGAAGTCCATACAAATGCTTACTGAGACTTTAGAAGGTTCCAGGCATGTTCACAGCAGTGGACAAAACAAAGGCCTTGCCCCCACCTATGTTCCCTTCCATTGAAGGGAGACAGATAATAAAGTCCATGTAAAAAGGTATTATGTTAGGTGGTGAGAAGTACTGTGGAGCCCCTCCCCTGGCACCACCCCGTTCCGCTGACTCCCCATTATCTAAAGAATAAAGTTCAAACTCCCAAGTACAGGACAAAATCCCAGGCTCATCTCCACGATTGCTCCTGTGTGGGCTGGGTTTGTGGTCAGAGCGACCTGGTTCAGCTGGACTGTTTGACTCCTCTAAGTTTCCTCATCTGTAAAATGGGGACAGTAATATAATGGGGGTCCCTTAGGCCAGGGGTCACCAACCCCCGGGCCACACAGCAGGAGGTGAGAGAGCGAAGCTTTATCTGTATTTACAGCCGCTCCCCATTGCTCACATTACCACCTGAGCTCTGCCTCCTGTCTGCATTTTGGTGGGTTGTATAATTATTTCATTACATATTACAATGTAATAATAATAGAAATAAAGTGCACAATAAATGTAATGATCTTGAATCATCCCGAAACCATCCCCCCACCCCGTCCGTGGAAAAATCGTCTTCCACGAAACCGGTCCCTGGTGCCAAAAAAGGTTGGGGACCGCTGCCGTAGGCTGATCGCACACACTAGCACAGTCCTTCCGAGCAGGGGACGGCCCCGTGGGTTGAACTTTTCCAGGTGCTCCCCTGGAGCGTCTGACTCGGGTGCTTCCTAGTTGGGATTCCGTGATGGGGGCAGATAATGGTTTCGTCCTAAGGGCTCGAAGGGGGCCCAGAGAGGGTGGCAGTGAGACAGGGAAGTACCGTGCGTGCTGACGAGGCTACTGGAGAGAGCAGACCACAGCCGCTGCCGTCCCCAGGCAAAAGCTGCCAGAGGAAGGATGTGGTCAGAGGCGGAGGAGTTAGAAGACAGGACTTGGTCTTAGGATTCCACCTTCCTTAATGCCATAAGGCCACGGCAGCCACCCCTGCATTGCGACCCCCAGGTGCCATCTATTTTGTGTGTTGTAAAATATACATAACTTAAAAATTACCATTTTAACCATCTTTAAGAGTACAATTCAGCGACATTAAGTACAATCACAATGTTGTGTAACCATCGCCACTATTTCCAGAACTTTTTCATCACCCCAAACAACTCTATACCCATTACCAATAATTGCCCATCCCCCCTCCCTCCAGCCCCTGGCAACCTCTATTCTACTTTGTGTCTCTCTGAATTTACCTATTCTAGACACCTCATCTGAGTGGACTCATATATCTGTCCTTTTGTGTCTGGCTTATTTCACTTAGCTTAAAATTTTCAAGGTCCATCCATGCGGTAGTTTGTATCAGAATTACAGTCTTTTTATGGCTGAATAATATATTCCTATATATATACACCACATTCAGTTCTCCCATTCATCTGTTGATGGTTACTTGGGTTTTTCCATCTTTTGACTATTGTGAATAATGTTAATGATCATGGGCTTCCATGGGCCATCTTAGGGAGAGAAGTTATCCAAAGACCCTGAGCGATTATCCCAAGATACGGAACATACTCCCTTCAAAAGGAACCACTTAAATCCTTACATGGAACCAAGTGATAAACATGAGTATAACAAGTTTTCTAGGGTTTTTTTGTTCGTTTGCTTGTTCTCCCTCCAACCGTGACTCTGACTCCGGCAGTTTAAGACTCGTAAGAAGTATAGTACAACAGTTGAAGGGAATAAGGAAACACTTTCTCCGCAAAATACCAATTTCATCAATGAAAATAATGCTAGATGGGTCTTAAACGCACTGAAAAGCAAGTAACGCCAGGCTCTCTTCCTGAAACGTGCCCACCTCCCATGCTCCTTTGCTCCAGTCACGCCAAACTAGTGATAATTCTGCACATACCTTACATCTTCAGGGCTCTGTCTGTGCACGTGCTGTTTCTGCAACTGGGAATGCCCTTTCTCCCATCCTCCAACTGGCAAACTCAATCATTTCTCAGGACTCCATGATGCCTTTCCTGACTCCCTCCCTTCCCACCAGGCGAGTCCCCTCACTGGAGCTTTCCCAGCACTTTGGCCACAGGTCAGCTGTTCCCACCTGTGCTATAATTGGCTGTTCTTGGTCTGCCTCTCCCGCCCGCCTGGGAGCTCCTTGAGGGAGGGCCTGGGGACTGTGACTTACTCATCTCTGTAGTCCCAGCCCTCCCTCCATAAATGTTGGGTCAAAAATAATGGCTACCATTTACTGATCCCTCACCATCTTGCAGGGTGTTTTACATGCACAAGCTCTAATCCTTCCAACAGCCCTTTGAGGTAGGAGTTTCTCCTGATTTTTACTTAAGAGCTCAGTCAGTGAGGAGTGAAGTCAGGACTCAAATCCAGGACATCCGGGCTCCAAAGTCCAAAAAACTGCTTCCAATAAGAGTGGGTGGGTGGGTATGAGGTTGGATGCCACACAGAGCACCTAACTTTTATAGCTGCTTATATCAAATCTGTGCCCATAGGTGAATCGTTTTACTTCCTCCTTTGTCCAATTGAAACATATACTTTTTAATAACCCACTTCCTTCTTTCTCCCACTTCAAACACTGGCAACACAGACTCATCTCTCTTTCACACACACACAAATACGCCCTTCCTGATGATTTCCCCTTACCTACAGAAACAGTTTGCTGCTTTGAACTCCTTAGGTCATGACGTGTGTTTTTGTCCCATTTCCCCAGCCAGACAGTAGGGTCCTGGGGGTGCAGACCACACCTTCCACAGCTTTCTTCCCAGGCTCACTCACGCTTCAGTCTCTCTACCTAGCAGGCCCTTGTGATATTCATTGGCTGCCTTTCAGGAAATCTGCCCCCTCCCCCCACGTCCGCCCAGCCTGTAATCCTGTTATAATATTTCTTGCATCAGTCCAACCACTTCTTATCACATTCCTGACTATCTTGTCCACATGTATAACTCAGAGAAAGGCATGTCCCTTTTGAAAAGCTCGTTTGGAAACAGCTTGCATTAAAACTTCAATAACAGTTTACGGCTACAATCACAGTAACATTTTATCATTCTTTTTTTTTTTGGCGGTACGTGGGCCTCTCACTGCTGTGGCCTCTCCCGTTGCGGAGCACAGGCTCCGGATGCGCAGGCTCAGCGGCCATGGTTCACGGGCCCAGCCGCTCCGCGGCACGTGGGATCCTCCCAGACCGGGACATGAACCCGTGTCCCCTGCATCGGCAGGCGGAGTCCCAACCACTGCTCCACCAGGGAAGCCCACATTTGATCATTCTTAAGCAGTACTTGGAGCATCCATAGCTCCCTACAACTAGGAGGCACATCCTAGACACTGAAGGAGTGAATGGAAAATTATTTTCCAAGAATCCCAAGTCTTTCGTCAACAAAGTTGCAAGGTTAAAGAGACCAAAATGTATTAGGTGAGCTGCTGCTAAAAGGTGGAGAGTTAGGAATCCTTCAGGAAAGCAGATGGCGATGCTCTCGCCTTACTCCATTCCAAAGCGGAGAAGCCCCTGAGTTTATTTGTCAAAAAGCCACCCCTTTCCCACACTCACACAGAATGGCCCAAGCTGTTGAGAGCTGCCAGGCCCCTGCCCCGGTCCCCACCCGATCCGCTTGCTTCCTGAGGGCTCCCCATCAGTGGAGCTGAATGGGCACAGTGCCAGGCCAGATGGCAAAGATGGGAAAAACTGCCAAAAAGGAGGCAAACAAGAAGTGGAAGGAGGGCTCTAGATGTGGGGGAGGAGCGGCACGGCACTCTCCTCAATCCTGCCTTGAGCAAGAGGTCAGGTTGGGGGTGTGGGAGACGGAAAGCAAAGAGGCAGCAGGTGCCCCAGAAAAGCAGAGACACTGGGATTTCATTTCACCAGGGAGAAGGGGGACGTGGAGGCCCACGCTGGCTCCGTAACCTCAGCACGCCCGGAGGTCATGTGAGCACACCACTACACACACACACACACACACACACACACGGGCGCGTGCAAGGCCACACGCAGGTAAGGGTACACTGAGGGATGTGCACACAAGATCCCTAGTAACATACGAATCAACGGGTATCCACAGCCTGTAACACACGTGTGCACGCATGGAGGCACAGACAGCCGAGCCAGGGGAGGAAAGCAGACACCGTCCCCGCCTAGGGACATTATCCTTAGCCGGACAGACAGACGGGCAGCTTCAGGAGCACACACACGCATGCAGATGTGCACAAACAGATTCCGGCCCCAAGGCACTGAGAGGCAAAGAGAGGCCCTGGGGACGGCCCCGCCCACATCCCAGCCCCCGACACCACGCACACGCCAGATGGTGCGCGGCCACCTTCCTCCACGCTGCTTCTCTGTCCTTCAGCTTCCCACCTGCACACCCGGGGCCCAGGTTCCTTATGTCCTCGGGGCCTCTGGGACCTGCCCCATTGCCCTCTGAGCTGGGCTGGGCACTACTCTTTGCTGAGGTAAGTCAGAGGGGCAGGGCTATGTTCTGCCCTGGCAGGAAGTGAGAATGGAGGATAAAAGTGGTCAGGAGGCTACATCAGGATCTTTCCCTTCCTCTCCTCCACACAGCTGGCCCGTGGTGTCCACCCTTCCGGCGCCTGACCAGGGATGCAGAGGGGAGCGGAACAGAAAGGGATGGGTGATCTGGGACAGAAAGGGAGGGGAGAGAGGCACCCCGTCTCTGTACAGCTTCCTCCTGTCTGCCACCCTCTCAATGTGCTTCCTGCCCCCCTACTCCCCACCTCCTCTCCTCAGGAATCCACGTCCTTCAGAAGTTTGGAAAGTGGGAATGTCAATCCTCGTCCTCCTTGCCCCAGAAGACCAGCTCTGGAATAGCTCCCACCTTCTTTTAGGTTCTGGTGGCCAGGCGCCAGGGAGCGTGTCCACCCTCCACCTCCCCTGCACGGCGCGCGCTCCCTGACCTGCGACCTGCGCGTTGCTGGCTGAGCCCACTTCCTCTGCCGCTATACCTCGGCAGCCACGGGAAGATGCACCCTTTATCGACAGACGCTCGTAATTGTGAAGACCTCTTAATGCCTGTAGGTTCAGACTCCCCAAACAGATCCAAACTGTGCTGAGCCTTCAGCGGAAGCTTCAAGAAGTCTAAAGGCTTTGTGAAAAGCTCTGTCCCAGGGCTGCTCTGGGTACACATGAATCCTGCCCATCAGCTTGTCCTGGGTCTGGGGAGCCTGTGGGGTGGAGATAGTACCAGGTCACCGGACTGAGTGGATGGCTTCCTCCTGCCCTCGGGGCCACGTTCTCCCCCGCTGCTGGGTGTCCTATCTTCTCTCCATCCTCCTTCCTCCCTGATCCAGCCTGCTCTGCTTTCTCCAGCTCAGATTCCTGCTCCAGCCTCTCCCCACCCTTCCCCACCTGAGCCTCTCTTCCTGCCTTTCCAGCACCATCCCTGGGTATTCTCATCTCATCCCTCCCGAAATTTTTTCTAGGAAAAGGCAGAAAGCAAAGGCGACCTACAGCTCCATACTTAAGTCTCCCCAGTGCATGGCTGTCACCTCCCCACCTGCAGACATTTCTCCACCCTGCTGTCAAGAGCCGAAAAACACAGGAAACATAGTCCCAGTCAAGACTCAGATGGGCTCAAGCCACCCTCCGCAGCCCTGTGCTCTGGGTGGTCCTTGCTTTTGGGCCTGGCTGGGTCCCGCTGCCTCAGAGAAACCTCCTGGAGCCTTTGGCTTCATGGACCTCACCCTGACCTCGGGCGGCACTGAGTGTGCTCCACACGTAGCCCTCACGCCTCTGCTGCCCCCTTCCCTGCGGGCCTGGGCATGCAAGGCTTCCGTGTTGCAGGGGTACACGCTGGGGGCATCAGACAGAGGCACAGCTGGGCTCTGGGGTCTCTGGGTGGCCAGGAGGTGAGGCTTGCGGGTCGAATAAGTTTCTGCTTCCTCCTCAAGCCTTGCTTCCATCTCCCCTTCGGCGACAACTTCAGCTCATCCTGAAGGGACTGGAGATGTGACCTGATGGGAGGGCCCCTTCCCATCAGAGAGGCCCCCATAGACCCGGGGAACAGGTGGGCAGCTGCCCTCAGTGGTGTGAGGCAGAGGTATCAGAAGGCCTCACCCACCCTCCAATATCACCCCCCCCAACCTCATGGTCAGTATCTGAAATTTTATCCACTTCATGACACCCATGGGCCACATTCTACCATAGCTGTAGGAACATGGGAGACAGCTGGTCTAATCCTCTATTTTTTTCCTTTTTTCTTTAAACTAATTTTACCAACACTTTATTCTTTATCTTTTATATATATTTTTTTGGCCGCGCTGCACAGCATGTGGGATCCTAGTTCCCCAACCAGGGATCAAACCCACACCCCCTGCAGTGGAAGCGCGGAGTCCTAACCACTGGACCGCCAGGGAAGTCCCTAATCTTCTTGTAAAGAAAACGGCACTGGGTGAAGGCAGTATCTCTCTAAGGCACCACTAGAACACTTTGGTTCGCTGGGAAGGATAACTGTGAGAGCAGACCTGTGCCTTGAACCCGCCTGTGGAGTTTAATCAGATCAGTTCATTGTCACCAGCAGAGGCCCAGCCCTGGGGTGAGAGGGTCAGGGGTTGTCTTATCTGAGAGTGGGAAAGGGCTGGAAACCATCCCCAGAGGGCCCTCCCTCCCCAGTGGCCTGGGATCTGGGGTTCAGCATGACAGCGGGGGGCCTAACGGGTGAAGGGGCAGACGCAGCTCCGAGGCATACAGGCCCCAGGGTGCGTTGGTGCTTCAGGTCTAGGGAGCATCATCCTCTTGTCTGAGGTCTGCCTGCCTGAGGCCATCCTTCTGAATTCTTTATTCAAAAAGGTTTCCCAGGGCCCAGGGCCCCCTCTCACCTCCATCCCCACCCATGTCTCCCATTTCTAAAGAAGGGGTGCTGCCCCACGTGCCCCTGTGAGGTTCAACCGCAGCTGGGACGCCCCCATACCTGTGCTCGCCACTGTGGCTCAGCCGCTGCTCCAAGCCGGCTTCTGCCTGCTCTGGGCCGGGCTGGGCTGGTAGGACTTGTTCCCGGTGGGTGGGACACACACACCTCAGCAGATCTCGGCAGATCCCAGCTCCCTGCACGCACCCAACCCCGGGCAGGGCAGGGAGAGAGAGAGAGGAGGAAGCAGTGCCCTCAGTGGCCTCCACGGACCGGCCAGAGAAGAAGAAACCCCAGCAGATCATGACACTTAATGCAGCCCCGACTCTCCCCCAGTAATGCCCCCCACCCAACCACCCACCCATGGCTCACACACTCCCTGCAGTTTCCGGGAAGCCTAACTGGCACACCCACCCACAGATGCCAGATGACTAACCCCCAGCCTCCCTCTGTCCTCGGCAGTTCCCCCTGGCTGTCTCCGTCTCTTTTGGGTTCCGGCAGGTGGTTTCGTTCTTGCCACATGTGGTTTTTACCTCCCTCTGTGTGGGGGGTGGCAGCCCCTAGTCTCTGAACCCTGGGCTGAGCCCCTTGTCTTCTGGATCAATAGGGCTGGGCAGGTTGTCTGCGCTCAGTACTCGAAAACAAGCTTTGAGTGGTAGGTGAAAAAGGACAGTGCAGTCGAACGAGTATGGGAAACACTAAGTCGAACAGGTTTCTCTATTTCAGGGCTTCTCAGAGCCTTTGACATGCCTTTAAGAGGTTGACTGCGTGTTGGTAATTGAAGCTGGGTGAAGGGTGCATGGGAGTGCATTACACTATTCTCTACGTGTGCGTGTTTGAGCTTTTCCATAATAAATGTTTTCTTTTGAATGCTGTATAGCTCCCCACACGTGTGTCCTCCGAACATGTCTTGGGAGATCCCAGGTTATTAAAGGCCACTGCTTCAAGATGCAGCTCCTCCCCACATTCAGGCCATCAGGCCCATGACTGGACGTCACAGCAAAGGTTTCCTGAGCTCCAGCCCAGTTGTTTCCTTCCTCCTATAAAGAGCAAGTCCTGCCCTACTGTCTGGGGTTGGTCCCCCTGGACACAATCTCATTCAGCTTGTCCTCCGGAGGGACAGTCCTACATTCACATCTGAGATCATGGGATCAGGGCTTCAGAAATGGAGACACCCACGCCCTCATGGCCCACATGGTCCCCAAGACACCCACCGGCTGTGACCTTCTTCAATCCAACTCTGATTTCTCAGGGCTTCTCCTCCTGGCAGGGGGCTGCTTCCCTGAGTACCATCCCCATTGTTCCCTCGCCTGCAGATGGATCCAGGGGTTGGAGGGTTGACTCCCCCGGGGCAGGGCCAACGAGGGGATCAGAACCAAAACAGGCCACACAGGTTGAAAATAAACATTTTATGTAAAGACATCCTTTAAGGTAGGTGGAGCTCCCATCGCAGACCTCTCCGGGACGGCTGCCCCAACCCGAGGGAAACGTTGAGTCTGGGCCAAGTAAGAGACAACCTGGGGTCTGAGAGCAATGAAGGGTGTGGAAAGTGGGTGGGGAGAGGGCAGAGTCCAGCTCAGCCGGCTTGGCCGAGAGTCAAGGTGCTAAACTCCTGGCTCCATCGAAGCACGAGGTCCTCGCTCTTGGCCGGGGTCAGGACGGTGTATGTCTCATTCTGCAGACATCTCATGCGGGACACCTGCACGGGGATTGGGCGCACGTGGTCCAGCTAGGAAAGCCAGGAGCCCGAGGTGTCGGAAATTCAAGAACAGGAGGTGGGCGGGTGTAGGCACAGGGAGCAGAGGGAAGGAGGAAACTCAGATGTGGGTTTTTAAAGCGGGGAGGCACACCACGTAGCCCGACTCCCCCTTTCAGAAATGAGGAGCCTGAGGCTGGAGAGGAAGTGACTTGGCTCAGACGACTTGGCGAGTAACAGCAAGAGCCAAGACTGAGGCCTCAGCCTCTCAGGCCCAACCCGGCTGGGGGTTCTTCCCTCCTGGCGTATCCACAGGGCCTCTGATCTGCAGCCTCCCTCCCTCCTGGAACCCTCTGCCTGGGGGCCTGGGAGAGCTGCTCACCCTAAGGCGGGAGGAGTGGGGACAGAGCTCCATGGAGGAGGCTCTGCCCGGAGATGCACCCACTCTCCACACCCCTGATGCTCGGACGTCACGGGGGGCCCAGAACGGACCAGCCCTTGGGGCTGATGGGAGGCAGCAGGGGCGGCGGGGGGGGGCTGCAGAGGGAGGGGCTCACCTTCCGGTTCCGGTTTCTCATCATACACTGCTGGCTTTTGAAGGCACAATAGTTCGGGTACTGCACATATTCTGTGTCACAAATCTAAGCCAGGAGCGGGGGATGGGAGGTGGGAAGGCATCAGAAGCCTCACAGACACCAGCCCTGCAGAGTGCGCCCACGATGGCAGGACCAGGGCACAGAACCAGACCCTCTGCACCTGGGGTGTCCCCTCTGCAGAGTGCGCCCACGATGGCAGGACCAGGGCACAGAACCAGACCCTCTGCACCTGGGGTGTCCCCTCTGCAGGTGGAAAGGGGAGTGGGTGGCGTCCATGGCCCGAAGACCTCTGTGGTCGGTCTAAACGCAGGACACCCATCTTCTGCTCCAGCTACCAGCTACGGGCCGGACCGTGTTTCATGCCCCGCCAAGGGCATTTCACCCAGTCTCCCGCCTCTGCACGGGCAGGCTCACGGCAGCACTTCCTAGGTACTAAGGAAGAGGTCCTTCTGCGCTCGCCATCACCACCTAGTTAAAGACATTTGCAGCCGCGCTCTTCCTTCCCCGGGCCCCTGCCCCCCACACTTTGTTCCCTCCTGCATCTGTGAGCTGGAGCTGCCGCTCAGAAGTCCAAGTGCCCAACCCACCGCCCTGCTGTGCACACACCCTGCGTGTCTGCGAGTGCGAGAGGCGTGGGGGCGGGGTGAGGGGACCGCGCTCTGGCACGACGTGCGTTCAGAGGGACGAGTCCTCGGGGCACCGGGTGAAGGAGCCCCGGGGGTCGGACGGCCGGAGCAGCCCCTGGCTGGCGGCGGCCGGCACGGTGGCGTGGGAGGTCTCAGCGGTGGGTTTGGCGAGTGCCCCCCGAGCCCCGTTGGTGGCCGAGGTCCTGGCCCGGAGCGGAGAGCTCAGGCTGCGCAGGGTGTTGCGGAAACCCTCGGCGCTGAAGTAGTACACCAGCGGGTCGAGCACGCAGTTGGCGCCGGCCAGCAGCACCATGACCATCAGCACCCCGCGCACCTGGTTGCGCGCCACCGGGCTGGCCAGCACCACGTGGCCGCGCAGCAGCCCGTACACGGCCAGCGTGGCGTTGTAGGGCACGAAGCACAGCAGGAAGATGACCAGGCTGGCCAGCAGGAGGCGCACCGTCTTCCGCCGCCGCTGGCTCCGCGTGGCGTCGGGCCGCGCCAGGGTGCAGAAGACACGGACCGAAGAGTAGACCACGGCTACCAGGGGCAGCAGGAATCCCAGCGCCTCGGCTAGCAGTAGGAGCGGCAGCAGCCTGCCCTTCCACAGCTCGTCGCTGAAGTTCTCGAAGCACACGTGCACCCAGCGGCCGTCGCGGGCGCAGGGTGAGGGCCGGTGCACCAGGACGGTGGGCACGGCGAACAGCAGGATGAGTGCCCACACGCCCAGGCAGAGCAGCCGCGCCACGCGGGGCCGCCGCAGGTGGCGCAGCCGCAGCGGGTGCACGATAGCGACGTAGCGGTCCACGTTGATGAGGGTCAGGAAGATGCAGCTGCCGTACATGTTCATCTGGAAGACGGCGCCCGCCAGCTGGCACAGGAGGTCCGAGAAGGGCCAGTAGTGCTGCGCATAGTAGGAGAGGCGCAAGGGCAGCGAGAGGGTGAAGAGGAGGTCGCTGGCCGCCAGGTTGCACATGTACACGCTCACTACCGAGTGCACGCGCAGCGCGTGCAGGAAGACCCAGAGGGCCAGCGCGTTGAGGGGGAGCCCTGCCGCCAGCACCAGGCTGTAGACCACCAAGTGCAGGTGGTGGATGGGCTGGTGGTCCGGGCACCTGAGATCAGAGTCGTTGGCCGAGGAGTTGGCCAGCATCGTGCCAAAGGGCGAGGAGGAGCTAGGCCGGGGGCATCAGGGGGCACACCTGCGTGCTGGCTTCGCGTTCATCTCCAGTCTCCACGGCGGGGGCCTGGAGGCTGCACAGAGCCCCAGAGCAAGCGGGGGCCGGACATAGACTTGTGGCTGTGGCTGCAGGGCCGACAGCTGCGGAGGATCAGATGCCCTTGGTCAGAGCTTCATCGGCCTCAGTGGAGACCTGGCATAGGAGGGAAGGCAGAAGTCAAGACTGTGCAAGGAAGGGCTGAAGACACAAATGTCATATAGCTGAACCTGCTGGCCTCTTGGGCCTTCTCTCAGCCTCACATCTTTCCTCCACCGTCCTTCTGGCCAGAACAGCTTTCTGCAGCCCGCTCTATGGCACAGTGCTAAATGCCCAGGCTCTAGAGTCAGGCCTGCCTAGGTTTAAATCTGGGCTTTTGTCCTCAGAAAAGTGACTTAATCTCTCTGCCCCTCATTTTCCTTACCTGGAAAAAAGAAAAAAAAAAGGAGAGGGACCCCTACTTCACGAGGTCGTTAGATTCAACGAGATGATATATTTAAAGTGCTTTGCTTACTGTTATTATCTACTAATATCTCTCCCTTGCTTCCTTTCTTTCTTCTACAAATGCTTACCAAGATTTTATTTTTTAAATTATTATTATTATTATCATTTTGGCCTCGCGGCATGCAGGATGTGGAACCTTAGTTCCCCGACCAGAGATCTAGCCTGTGCACCCTGGAGTGGAAGCCCGGAGTCTTAACCACTGGACCACCAGGGAAGTCCATACAAATGCTTACTGAGACTTTAGAAGGTTCCAGGCATGTTCACAGCAGTGGACAAAACAAAGGCCTTGCCCCCACCTATGTTCCCTTCCATTGAAGGGAGACAGATAATAAAGTCCATGTAAAAAGGTATTATGTTAGGTGGTGAGAAGTACTGTGGAGCCCCTCCCCTGGCACCACCCCGTTCCGCTGACTCCCCATTATCTAAAGAATAAAGTTCAAACTCCCAAGTACAGGACAAAATCCCAGGCTCATCTCCACGATTGCTCCTGTGTGGGCTGGGTTTGTGGTCAGAGCGACCTGGTTCAGCTGGACTGTTTGACTCCTCTAAGTTTCCTCATCTGTAAAATGGGGACAGTAATATAATGGGGGTCCCTTAGGCCAGGGGTCACCAACCCCCGGGCCACACAGCAGGAGGTGAGAGAGCGAAGCTTTATCTGTATTTACAGCCGCTCCCCATTGCTCACATTACCACCTGAGCTCTGCCTCCTGTCTGCATTTTGGTGGGTTGTATAATTATTTCATTACATATTACAATGTAATAATAATAGAAATAAAGTGCACAATAAATGTAATGATCTTGAATCATCCCGAAACCATCCCCCCACCCCGTCCGTGGAAAAATCGTCTTCCACGAAACCGGTCCCTGGTGCCAAAAAAGGTTGGGGACCGCTGCCGTAGGCTGATCGCACACACTAGCACAGTCCTTCCGAGCAGGGGACGGCCCCGTGGGTTGAACTTTTCCAGGTGCTCCCCTGGAGCGTCTGACTCGGGTGCTTCCTAGTTGGGATTCCGTGATGGGGGCAGATAATGGTTTCGTCCTAAGGGCTCGAAGGGGGCCCAGAGAGGGTGGCAGTGAGACAGGGAAGTACCGTGCGTGCTGACGAGGCTACTGGAGAGAGCAGACCACAGCCGCTGCCGTCCCCAGGCAAAAGCTGCCAGAGGAAGGATGTGGTCAGAGGCGGAGGAGTTAGAAGACAGGACTTGGTCTTAGGATTCCACCTTCCTTAATGCCATAAGGCCACGGCAGCCACCCCTGCATTGCGACCCCCAGGTGCCATCTATTTTGTGTGTTGTAAAATATACATAACTTAAAAATTACCATTTTAACCATCTTTAAGAGTACAATTCAGCGACATTAAGTACAATCACAATGTTGTGTAACCATCGCCACTATTTCCAGAACTTTTTCATCACCCCAAACAACTCTATACCCATTACCAATAATTGCCCATCCCCCCTCCCTCCAGCCCCTGGCAACCTCTATTCTACTTTGTGTCTCTCTGAATTTACCTATTCTAGACACCTCATCTGAGTGGACTCATATATCTGTCCTTTTGTGTCTGGCTTATTTCACTTAGCTTAAAATTTTCAAGGTCCATCCATGCGGTAGTTTGTATCAGAATTACAGTCTTTTTATGGCTGAATAATATATTCCTATATATATACACCACATTCAGTTCTCCCATTCATCTGTTGATGGTTACTTGGGTTTTTCCATCTTTTGACTATTGTGAATAATGTTAATGATCATGGGCTTCCATGGGCCATCTTAGGGAGAGAAGTTATCCAAAGACCCTGAGCGATTATCCCAAGATACGGAACATACTCCCTTCAAAAGGAACCACTTAAATCCTTACATGGAACCAAGTGATAAACATGAGTATAACAAGTTTTCTAGGGTTTTTTTGTTCGTTTGCTTGTTCTCCCTCCAACCGTGACTCTGACTCCGGCAGTTTAAGACTCGTAAGAAGTATAGTACAACAGTTGAAGGGAATAAGGAAACACTTTCTCCGCAAAATACCAATTTCATCAATGAAAATAATGCTAGATGGGTCTTAAACGCACTGAAAAGCAAGTAACGCCAGGCTCTCTTCCTGAAACGTGCCCACCTCCCATGCTCCTTTGCTCCAGTCACGCCAAACTAGTGATAATTCTGCACATACCTTACATCTTCAGGGCTCTGTCTGTGCACGTGCTGTTTCTGCAACTGGGAATGCCCTTTCTCCCATCCTCCAACTGGCAAACTCAATCATTTCTCAGGACTCCATGATGCCTTTCCTGACTCCCTCCCTTCCCACCAGGCGAGTCCCCTCACTGGAGCTTTCCCAGCACTTTGGCCACAGGTCAGCTGTTCCCACCTGTGCTATAATTGGCTGTTCTTGGTCTGCCTCTCCCGCCCGCCTGGGAGCTCCTTGAGGGAGGGCCTGGGGACTGTGACTTACTCATCTCTGTAGTCCCAGCCCTCCCTCCATAAATGTTGGGTCAAAAATAATGGCTACCATTTACTGATCCCTCACCATCTTGCAGGGTGTTTTACATGCACAAGCTCTAATCCTTCCAACAGCCCTTTGAGGTAGGAGTTTCTCCTGATTTTTACTTAAGAGCTCAGTCAGTGAGGAGTGAAGTCAGGACTCAAATCCAGGACATCCGGGCTCCAAAGTCCAAAAAACTGCTTCCAATAAGAGTGGGTGGGTGGGTATGAGGTTGGATGCCACACAGAGCACCTAACTTTTATAGCTGCTTATATCAAATCTGTGCCCATAGGTGAATCGTTTTACTTCCTCCTTTGTCCAATTGAAACATATACTTTTTAATAACCCACTTCCTTCTTTCTCCCACTTCAAACACTGGCAACACAGACTCATCTCTCTTTCACACACACACAAATACGCCCTTCCTGATGATTTCCCCTTACCTACAGAAACAGTTTGCTGCTTTGAACTCCTTAGGTCATGACGTGTGTTTTTGTCCCATTTCCCCAGCCAGACAGTAGGGTCCTGGGGGTGCAGACCACACCTTCCACAGCTTTCTTCCCAGGCTCACTCACGCTTCAGTCTCTCTACCTAGCAGGCCCTTGTGATATTCATTGGCTGCCTTTCAGGAAATCTGCCCCCTCCCCCCACGTCCGCCCAGCCTGTAATCCTGTTATAATATTTCTTGCATCAGTCCAACCACTTCTTATCACATTCCTGACTATCTTGTCCACATGTATAACTCAGAGAAAGGCATGTCCCTTTTGAAAAGCTCGTTTGGAAACAGCTTGCATTAAAACTTCAATAACAGTTTACGGCTACAATCACAGTAACATTTTATCATTCTTTTTTTTTTTGGCGGTACGTGGGCCTCTCACTGCTGTGGCCTCTCCCGTTGCGGAGCACAGGCTCCGGATGCGCAGGCTCAGCGGCCATGGTTCACGGGCCCAGCCGCTCCGCGGCACGTGGGATCCTCCCAGACCGGGACATGAACCCGTGTCCCCTGCATCGGCAGGCGGAGTCCCAACCACTGCTCCACCAGGGAAGCCCACATTTGATCATTCTTAAGCAGTACTTGGAGCATCCATAGCTCCCTACAACTAGGAGGCACATCCTAGACACTGAAGGAGTGAATGGAAAATTATTTTCCAAGAATCCCAAGTCTTTCGTCAACAAAGTTGCAAGGTTAAAGAGACCAAAATGTATTAGGTGAGCTGCTGCTAAAAGGTGGAGAGTTAGGAATCCTTCAGGAAAGCAGATGGCGATGCTCTCGCCTTACTCCATTCCAAAGCGGAGAAGCCCCTGAGTTTATTTGTCAAAAAGCCACCCCTTTCCCACACTCACACAGAATGGCCCAAGCTGTTGAGAGCTGCCAGGCCCCTGCCCCGGTCCCCACCCGATCCGCTTGCTTCCTGAGGGCTCCCCATCAGTGGAGCTGAATGGGCACAGTGCCAGGCCAGATGGCAAAGATGGGAAAAACTGCCAAAAAGGAGGCAAACAAGAAGTGGAAGGAGGGCTCTAGATGTGGGGGAGGAGCGGCACGGCACTCTCCTCAATCCTGCCTTGAGCAAGAGGTCAGGTTGGGGGTGTGGGAGACGGAAAGCAAAGAGGCAGCAGGTGCCCCAGAAAAGCAGAGACACTGGGATTTCATTTCACCAGGGAGAAGGGGGACGTGGAGGCCCACGCTGGCTCCGTAACCTCAGCACGCCCGGAGGTCATGTGAGCACACCACTACACACACACACACACACACACACACACGGGCGCGTGCAAGGCCACACGCAGGTAAGGGTACACTGAGGGATGTGCACACAAGATCCCTAGTAACATACGAATCAACGGGTATCCACAGCCTGTAACACACGTGTGCACGCATGGAGGCACAGACAGCCGAGCCAGGGGAGGAAAGCAGACACCGTCCCCGCCTAGGGACATTATCCTTAGCCGGACAGACAGACGGGCAGCTTCAGGAGCACACACACGCATGCAGATGTGCACAAACAGATTCCGGCCCCAAGGCACTGAGAGGCAAAGAGAGGCCCTGGGGACGGCCCCGCCCACATCCCAGCCCCCGACACCACGCACACGCCAGATGGTGCGCGGCCACCTTCCTCCACGCTGCTTCTCTGTCCTTCAGCTTCCCACCTGCACACCCGGGGCCCAGGTTCCTTATGTCCTCGGGGCCTCTGGGACCTGTCCCATTGCCCTCTGAGCTGGGCTGGGCACTACTCTTTGCTGAGGTAAGTCAGAGGGGCAGGGCTATGTTCTGCCCTGGCAGGAAGTGAGAATGGAGGATAAAAGTGGTCAGGAGGCTACATCAGGATCTTTCCCTTCCTCTCCTCCACACAGCTGGCCCGTGGTGTCCACCCTTCCGGCGCCTGACCAGGGATGCAGAGGGGAGCGGAACAGAAAGGGATGGGTGATCTGGGACAGAAAGGGAGGGGAGAGAGGCACCCCGTCTCTGTACAGCTTCCTCCTGTCTGCCACCCTCTCAATGTGCTTCCTGCCCCCCTACTCCCCACCTCCTCTCCTCAGGAATCCACGTCCTTCAGAAGTTTGGAAAGTGGGAATGTCAATCCTCGTCCTCCTTGCCCCAGAAGACCAGCTCTGGAATAGCTCCCACCTTCTTTTAGGTTCTGGTGGCCAGGCGCCAGGGAGCGTGTCCACCCTCCACCTCCCCTGCACGGCGCGCGCTCCCTGACCTGCGACCTGCGCGTTGCTGGCTGAGCCCACTTCCTCTGCCGCTATACCTCGGCAGCCACGGGAAGATGCACCCTTTATCGACAGACGCTCGTAATTGTGAAGACCTCTTAATGCCTGTAGGTTCAGACTCCCCAAACAGATCCAAACTGTGCTGAGCCTTCAGCGGAAGCTTCAAGAAGTCTAAAGGCTTTGTGAAAAGCTCTGTCCCAGGGCTGCTCTGGGTACACATGAATCCTGCCCATCAGCTTGTCCTGGGTCTGGGGAGCCTGTGGGGTGGAGATAGTACCAGGTCACCGGACTGAGTGGATGGCTTCCTCCTGCCCTCGGGGCCACGTTCTCCCCCGCTGCTGGGTGTCCTATCTTCTCTCCATCCTCCTTCCTCCCTGATCCAGCCTGCTCTGCTTTCTCCAGCTCAGATTCCTGCTCCAGCCTCTCCCCACCCTTCCCCACCTGAGCCTCTCTTCCTGCCTTTCCAGCACCATCCCTGGGTATTCTCATCTCATCCCTCCCGAAATTTTTTCTAGGAAAAGGCAGAAAGCAAAGGCGACCTACAGCTCCATACTTAAGTCTCCCCAGTGCATGGCTGTCACCTCCCCACCTGCAGACATTTCTCCACCCTGCTGTCAAGAGCCGAAAAACACAGGAAACATAGTCCCAGTCAAGACTCAGATGGGCTCAAGCCACCCTCCGCAGCCCTGTGCTCTGGGTGGTCCTTGCTTTTGGGCCTGGCTGGGTCCCGCTGCCTCAGAGAAACCTCCTGGAGCCTTTGGCTTCATGGACCTCACCCTGACCTCGGGCGGCACTGAGTGTGCTCCACACGTAGCCCTCACGCCTCTGCTGCCCCCTTCCCTGCGGGCCTGGGCATGCAAGGCTTCCGTGTTGCAGGGGTACACGCTGGGGGCATCAGACAGAGGCACAGCTGGGCTCTGGGGTCTCTGGGTGGCCAGGAGGTGAGGCTTGCGGGTCGAATAAGTTTCTGCTTCCTCCTCAAGCCTTGCTTCCATCTCCCCTTCGGCGACAACTTCAGCTCATCCTGAAGGGACTGGAGATGTGACCTGATGGGAGGGCCCCTTCCCATCAGAGAGGCCCCCATAGACCCGGGGAACAGGTGGGCAGCTGCCCTCAGTGGTGTGAGGCAGAGGTATCAGAAGGCCTCACCCACCCTCCAATATCACCCCCCCCAACCTCATGGTCAGTATCTGAAATTTTATCCACTTCATGACACCCATGGGCCACATTCTACCATAGCTGTAGGAACATGGGAGACAGCTGGTCTAATCCTCTATTTTTTTCCTTTTTTCTTTAAACTAATTTTACCAACACTTTATTCTTTATCTTTTATATATATTTTTTTGGCCGCGCTGCACAGCATGTGGGATCCTAGTTCCCCAACCAGGGATCAAACCCACACCCCCTGCAGTGGAAGCGCGGAGTCCTAACCACTGGACCGCCAGGGAAGTCCCTAATCTTCTTGTAAAGAAAACGGCACTGGGTGAAGGCAGTATCTCTCTAAGGCACCACTAGAACACTTTGGTTCGCTGGGAAGGATAACTGTGAGAGCAGACCTGTGCCTTGAACCCGCCTGTGGAGTTTAATCAGATCAGTTCATTGTCACCAGCAGAGGCCCAGCCCTGGGGTGAGAGGGTCAGGGGTTGTCTTATCTGAGAGTGGGAAAGGGCTGGAAACCATCCCCAGAGGGCCCTCCCTCCCCAGTGGCCTGGGATCTGGGGTTCAGCATGACAGCGGGGGGCCTAACGGGTGAAGGGGCAGACGCAGCTCCGAGGCATACAGGCCCCAGGGTGCGTTGGTGCTTCAGGTCTAGGGAGCATCATCCTCTTGTCTGAGGTCTGCCTGCCTGAGGCCATCCTTCTGAATTCTTTATTCAAAAAGGTTTCCCAGGGCCCAGGGCCCCCTCTCACCTCCATCCCCACCCATGTCTCCCATTTCTAAAGAAGGGGTGCTGCCCCACGTGCCCCTGTGAGGTTCAACCGCAGCTGGGACGCCCCCATACCTGTGCTCGCCACTGTGGCTCAGCCGCTGCTCCAAGCCGGCTTCTGCCTGCTCTGGGCCGGGCTGGGCTGGTAGGACTTGTTCCCGGTGGGTGGGACACACACACCTCAGCAGATCTCGGCAGATCCCAGCTCCCTGCACGCACCCAACCCCGGGCAGGGCAGGGAGAGAGAGAGAGGAGGAAGCAGTGCCCTCAGTGGCCTCCACGGACCGGCCAGAGAAGAAGAAACCCCAGCAGATCATGACACTTAATGCAGCCCCGACTCTCCCCCAGTAATGCCCCCCACCCAACCACCCACCCATGGCTCACACACTCCCTGCAGTTTCCGGGAAGCCTAACTGGCACACCCACCCACAGATGCCAGATGACTAACCCCCAGCCTCCCTCTGTCCTCGGCAGTTCCCCCTGGCTGTCTCCGTCTCTTTTGGGTTCCGGCAGGTGGTTTCGTTCTTGCCACATGTGGTTTTTACCTCCCTCTGTGTGGGGGGTGGCAGCCCCTAGTCTCTGAACCCTGGGCTGAGCCCCTTGTCTTCTGGATCAATAGGGCTGGGCAGGTTGTCTGCGCTCAGTACTCGAAAACAAGCTTTGAGTGGTAGGTGAAAAAGGACAGTGCAGTCGAACGAGTATGGGAAACACTAAGTCGAACAGGTTTCTCTATTTCAGGGCTTCTCAGAGCCTTTGACATGCCTTTAAGAGGTTGACTGCGTGTTGGTAATTGAAGCTGGGTGAAGGGTGCATGGGAGTGCATTACACTATTCTCTACGTGTGCGTGTTTGAGCTTTTCCATAATAAATGTTTTCTTTTGAATGCTGTATAGCTCCCCACACGTGTGTCCTCCGAACATGTCTTGGGAGATCCCAGGTTATTAAAGGCCACTGCTTCAAGATGCAGCTCCTCCCCACATTCAGGCCATCAGGCCCATGACTGGACGTCACAGCAAAGGTTTCCTGAGCTCCAGCCCAGTTGTTTCCTTCCTCCTATAAAGAGCAAGTCCTGCCCTACTGTCTGGGGTTGGTCCCCCTGGACACAATCTCATTCAGCTTGTCCTCCGGAGGGACAGTCCTACATTCACATCTGAGATCATGGGATCAGGGCTTCAGAAATGGAGACACCCACGCCCTCATGGCCCACATGGTCCCCAAGACACCCACCGGCTGTGACCTTCTTCAATCCAACTCTGATTTCTCAGGGCTTCTCCTCCTGGCAGGGGGCTGCTTCCCTGAGTACCATCCCCATTGTTCCCTCGCCTGCAGATGGATCCAGGGGTTGGAGGGTTGACTCCCCCGGGGCAGGGCCAACGAGGGGATCAGAACCAAAACAGGCCACACAGGTTGAAAATAAACATTTTATGTAAAGACATCCTTTAAGGTAGGTGGAGCTCCCATCGCAGACCTCTCCGGGACGGCTGCCCCAACCCGAGGGAAACGTTGAGTCTGGGCCAAGTAAGAGACAACCTGGGGTCTGAGAGCAATGAAGGGTGTGGAAAGTGGGTGGGGAGAGGGCAGAGTCCAGCTCAGCCGGCTTGGCCGAGAGTCAAGGTGCTAAACTCCTGGCTCCATCGAAGCACGAGGTCCTCGCTCTTGGCCGGGGTCAGGACGGTGTATGTCTCATTCTGCAGACATCTCATGCGGGACACCTGCACGGGGATTGGGCGCACGTGGTCCAGCTAGGAAAGCCAGGAGCCCGAGGTGTCGGAAATTCAAGAACAGGAGGTGGGCGGGTGTAGGCACAGGGAGCAGAGGGAAGGAGGAAACTCAGATGTGGGTTTTTAAAGCGGGGAGGCACACCACGTAGCCCGACTCCCCCTTTCAGAAATGAGGAGCCTGAGGCTGGAGAGGAAGTGACTTGGCTCAGACGACTTGGCGAGTAACAGCAAGAGCCAAGACTGAGGCCTCAGCCTCTCAGGCCCAACCCGGCTGGGGGTTCTTCCCTCCTGGCGTATCCACAGGGCCTCTGATCTGCAGCCTCCCTCCCTCCTGGAACCCTCTGCCTGGGGGCCTGGGAGAGCTGCTCACCCTAAGGCGGGAGGAGTGGGGACAGAGCTCCATGGAGGAGGCTCTGCCCGGAGATGCACCCACTCTCCACACCCCTGATGCTCGGACGTCACGGGGGGCCCAGAACGGACCAGCCCTTGGGGCTGATGGGAGGCAGCAGGGGCGGCGGGGGGGGGCTGCAGAGGGAGGGGCTCACCTTCCGGTTCCGGTTTCTCATCATACACTGCTGGCTTTTGAAGGCACAATAGTTCGGGTACTGCACATATTCTGTGTCACAAATCTAAGCCAGGAGCGGGGGATGGGAGGTGGGAAGGCATCAGAAGCCTCACAGACACCAGCCCTGCAGAGTGCGCCCACGATGGCAGGACCAGGGCACAGAACCAGACCCTCTGCACCTGGGGTGTCCCCTCTGCAGAGTGCGCCCACGATGGCAGGACCAGGGCACAGAACCAGACCCTCTGCACCTGGGGTGTCCCCTCTGCCCTTCCCGTCCCACCCTCAGCCATGGTTCAGTTGCTGGGAAGAAGCCAGGAGCTGGAGCTGAGAAGGGGGTGCCCTGCTGGTCACCAAGCTGGGAAAGCAGCTGAGCGACGAGGGCCAGGGAAGGGGCACTAAGGGCCCAGTACGCGGGAAGGGGCCCAGGCAGCGGTCCCATCTCAGGGAGCTTCCTAGGGACTATTTAGTGCGGAAGAGGTCAGAAGTGCCTCTAATGTATGACCCTGGGCCAGTCACTTCCCTCTATGAGCCTCGCCTGCCCATCTATAAATCCAGGGGAGCAGCTGAGGCAGTCCGAGACCCCTTCCAGATCTAGGGGTCCAGGGAGAAGAGCTGGGCGGAGACCTCTCGGCTCAGATAAAAGCCCTTTCTTAGGCTGCCTCTGCTTTTCCTGGTCTTGATTTTTCCTGCTAAACCACAGAAGGGAGGGGCCGGGCTCTCAGCTACAGCAGCTAGTTCCGTGGGGGGAGGTAACTCTGGGGGCGGGGAGCAAAGCTGATCCCAGTGAGAGGGAAAGCACTAGAAGATTTGAGAAGGAGCCTCCAGGCTTAGGCAGGGAAGCACTGGGTCACCGTCAGCAGCCGTTTGGGGCAGAGATGAAGTCCCCCAGCCCACCCCCTGTAGGTAACCGGCAGAGCTGGACCAGACCTGTCTCATGCCCCCATGGCCTGTGCCCGCCCGGCCCTCCAGGTTTCTACTCCTTTGCTAAGTGCAATCCTGCTCTCTTGGGGGTCTGGAGGGTCTACTGCGGAAAGGCAGGAGGCTCAGTGAGGCCAGGGGCCCAAGCCCCCCTCCACATCCTAGGGTTCCCCAGAGCAGGGGACAAGAGGGGACCGGGGTGAGCAGGGTGGGGCTGAGCTTTGGGGAAGGCGCTGACCTTGGTGGGGAAGTCCCCATCCTGGAAGCTGAGGAACTCAGTCTGGAGCCAGCTGGCGACTCGATTGTCTTCGCAGCCCTTGGTGGCCAGCCGGGCACACCAGAAGTCCATGCGCAGCCCGCCATACAAATCCAGCGCGTAAAAGCGGCCCGATTTTAGGGTCCCTATCTGCGGCATGGGGCACAGGGGAGAGGTGGGCGTCCTGGCCCCCCTGCTGCCCCATCCTGCCTGGGGCCTGAGGCCCCCGGCCGCTGCAGGCCACCCTCCTCGGTACCTGGGTGCCGATGGACGTGCTCTGGGACGCGAGCAGGGGGCTGACGAAGGGCGTCTTGTGGGAGCTGTCACACTGCTGCCGCTGTAGGCTGGCCTCCGAGCGGCACTGCTCCAGCTTGAGGGAGCAGAACTCACAGAGGGCACACGTAGCCACGTGGCGCCGCCCAAGGTTGTCACAGACCTGAGGAGGAGCGCGGCTGGGGAACTGAGGCTGAGGCTCCCCCGCTTCCGCCCTCCAGAGCCGCTCCGCAGAATGTCTCCGCATTAAGTCTTTTCCAGAAGCTCCTGTGGCTTTTCCCTGCCCCCCTCCCCAAGGGTCCTCAAGGACCTCCCGTCGGCTCTCTGTTTCTTCATCCTCTTCCTGGATTATTTATCTACTCACAGGTAATATTCATCTCCCTGCTGGTGACACCCAAACTTTTACCATCACTTCTGATCTCTTTCCTGAGCTCCAAATCCCCACGGCCAAGTGCCTGACAGACATGTAACTTAGCCCGTCTGAAAAAGACTCATAACCCTCCCTTCCTCTCCGCTAATGATAACGCTAATATTCACAAAGAGTCGGCACGGTGCTGCGCACCATGGCGATAAGTGCCATCATCTCCTTTGGTCTCCACAGGAACCTTCTACTAGCATAGGTACTAAGCAGGCCTCCGTTGTGTGCCTGACGAGGAAACCGAGGCTCCGTGAGGCTGAGTCAACTGCTCAAACCCACGTCTAGTGCGTGTGGAGCTGAGGCACTGGTCCTGGTGCTTCCAACTCCAAAACCTGTCCTCTGCCCAAGCACCTAGGCTCAGAACCTCCAAGTTCTTGGATGACATTTTGTATGTGGAGCCCGGTGGGGCTCTCTGCCCTGAGCAAGTCTCCCCAGCCTTCCAGGAGGAAGGAGGATCTCGCCCTGCAGCATCGCCAGTCCATCCCGTCAGCGTGTCACAGTCACAAAATCTCTTACGTCGCCTTCCTTGCTCCTCCTAACAGCACACGGGGGACGCATCATCGTGTCCCTGACCCCAAATCATGACTGAATTCTCTTTTCTTACCAAATTAAATACAAATGCTTCAGACTGCCATTCGGGATTATTCACATCATGACCCTTATTATCTCTTTGACTCTAAAAATCCAGTGAGCCCTCCACCACTCCTGAACTTCCTACACTCCAAAACAAAAACAAAAAGACCCAGAAGAACTCTCTCTCCAGCACCTACCACACTCCTTTTGTAATGCTACTGAATCCCTGCTCCCTGCGGGCCAACAGCAGTGTGCTCGTTTTTTTTTTTTTTTTTTTTTTTGGTTCCACGTGGAATTTCTTCTCTTTCTTGCCTCAGAGACTTTGCACACATTGATACTAACCCCTCTAGCAGGAACCTCTACCAACCCCTTCTTTTGCCTGGTTAACTTCTTTTAGCTCCGGGTCTCAGTTTACACATCAGTTCCTCCAAGAGGCAATTCTCCGATCCAGCCCAACGCGACGTTTGTGCTCTCCATCTGCTCTCTGCACTTTGTGCTTGTCCGTCATGCATTGATCCTGCCACACCGTTCTCCGTTTCTGTGTCTGTCTCTCCCACCGGACTCCAGGAGGAGAGGGAATGGGATCTGTTGTACTCATTGCTAAAATACCTAGGACAGAGTTGCTAACATCTCAAATACCTAGCCCGATCAATATTTGAACAAACGGATGAATGGGTGGCATACGAGCTCTCAACAAACATTTGCTAACTTGCACTTTTTGAAAGCCCTATTTCCTGGGAATAGGACCTGCTGGGTGCTGAGGACACGTCGAGGCTGGGATCTCTCTACAGATCCCTGGAAACGGTTCTATGATCCCTCTGGAAAGAATAGCTACATCTAAGGTAAAGCCAAGTCCTGCCGGTGGTGAACTGGCTCAGGAGATGACTCAAACCTAACAAGGCGCAGCCACAGCATGAATTCTGGACTGCAATGGATTCCAGACTTCGTCCTCCTTTAAGGGGAGCTGGAGATACCCTTCCAAAGAAGGGATTCTCACTTGGAGAGAATCTCCAATGATGCCTCGGGCTTTATGTAGCCCCGCCCATTAACCACTCCTGAGGCCCAGAGGATGCCCAGTGAGCATGGAGCCATTAAACAGCATGGTGGGCATACCGACTTCCCGAAACCAAGGATCTCATCCTCCAAGTGCTGCCAGGCCTTGGCTGTAGGGGTTATGACACAGGTGTTCTCCACAATCGAGTAGCACAGTGCCAGCAAGGCCTCCACGTGAGGCAGCTGCAGGAGACTGCAAGAAGATGGCACCGGCTGGGGCAGAAAGCCCACCCACTCTCTTCCCCTCCCCTTAGCGTCTAGTCCTAGTCACACACATTTAGCATGCTGGATGGGGCCCCGGAGGCCTCCAGACCAACTGCCTCCTTTTACAAATGAGGAACTGAGATCCAGAAAGGGGAAGTAAAAGTTGCAGTGCTTATCAGGGTCAGAGACAACCCCAGAACCCAAGTCTAGTAGCTCTAGGTTCAGGGCGCACCCCACGACTTCATGTAGAGACAGATGTCTAGGGCAGTGCTTAAGCCCATGACGGCCACAGAGCAGGCGAGGCAGGCAGCGGCTAGGTGCACCTGAAGCCCAGGCAGATGTGAGTGGGTCTGGGGGCCGAGGCTGGCAAAGGGGGCTTCTCATTCCCAAAGACAGCGGGGAAGGTAGGGCCGGTGGGGCAGACAGAAATTCCTCTACCTGCCAGGGCTCTGGGCTTTCCAGATATTCTCCTCATATACATCATTCATTTCATTCATTTCATCCATTTCCTGCACAGATCGGATGACCTCTTGGATGTTCTCCATCATCATGGGAGTAGACTCCACTTCCCGCACCCGGGGAGTGAAGGAGAAAGGGTTGGAGGATACAAATTCAGACTGGGTCTTGGGCTCCGGGTCTGCCTGCAACCCAGACGTCGCCTCCAGCGCCTGCTTTGTGCCCTGTCCTTCCTCCCACTCCTCCTCTTGTCCCTCCCGCTCCTGCCCTTGATCCTGGCCACCCAGGGACAGGGAGGATTGTAGCAGCTCCTCCACGCTGCTGTTAAGCCGCTCGGGCCAGGGCTGGAAGGCCTGTTGTTCTGTGGCTGCAGCAGGGTTTGGGAGGGACCAAGAGAGAGAAGGGAAAGGGATGGTCAGGTTTCTGACCCCCCGTGTCTTTGTTCACAGAGGGACGCACATAAACGCAGACAAAAACACATAAACACACACAAACACATACATAAACACAAAGGCAGAGGAAGGCAGTGCAAATTGCACACATTCATTTAGTTGAGCATAAAAAATACAGGAGAGAATACAAATATCAAAATAAAAGAACATTACCATGGCGACAGTGGAGGCAGCGTTACCGGTCCCCTTTCCACCTCCCTTACAAGTGGTCCTCTTCCCTAACCCACCTCAAATACCACCTTTTGTCCCCCTCACTTAGGAAACACCAAGTATTCTGAATACCTAGCAACCAATCCTTTCTAGAGTGAAGATTTTAGCTGGGAAAAGTCCCAGAGCACTTCTTAATGTAGGAAGGTTTGGGGGAGCTAGGAAAAATCGGTTCAGGGCAGAGATGTTCGTAATGTCAGAAAACATCCTAGGACAGGAAAGCCCTAACTTGTACTCAGAAAAAGCAGGCTCTCCCTTATGTAAACAGCTGCCCATGGCCGCCTCCACTGGCTCATCTCCCCACGTCCCTCCCACTGATGCCTTAAACCCTGGGCTCCGGGACTCGTGGGAGGAGAGGCTGGGAGTCTCCCGGGTGCTGGGAGGGTCTCACCTGTGGTGTGGGAGGACTTGGGGGAGGTCATCGTCGTGAGCGGCACTTCAGAGGAAGTGTCCACCTCCTTGAGAGTGTTTGGTGAGAGGATAGAGACTGGCTGGGAGCACCCGACCCGCTGCGAGGAGAGAAGCAAAGTGGCAACGCCTTTCCCAAAGGGCGAACTTCTACTCCTGCTTATCCTCCGTCCCTGTCCCTCGGGTCTCCTCTCTCACAGTTCCTGGGCGGGAATGAGGGCACATGGCCCCCGGTGGAACTCTCTAGACCTGGGAAAGGGTCCCCTGCAAGATCAGACTCCCGTCTGGCCCACACTCCTGCCTTCAGTCTTTTGCATTTGACTTGAATGACATCACTGACCTGCTGGAAGGGCTTATCTCTGCCTCCTCCCATCCCTCTTCCCTACTTTTCTTGCAGTAACAGGGCTGTTCTGACAGTCTGAATGCCCAAGGTGAGACTGTACGCACGTATAATCTGGGTAAATGATGGCAAAGTGGCAGGTAGGGAGGACCTAAGGCTGGCTTGGAGCCACTGCCACCGCCTGTCCCTTGATCCTTGACACCAGATCCAACCTCTGTCCCAGCCTCACCTTGGCGTAGTAGACGTGGTTGGAGCAACGGTACTGAGTAAACTGGCAGAAGGACTCAAACCAGGAGGCATAAGGGAGGTCGGAGCAGACAGCGCCTGGGGAAGGGCGTGCGGCGGAAGTGAACACACCAGGGGGAACGCCCTCTGGGGGGCACGCCCTCTGGGAGGGGGCGGGACGGGGCGGTGGGCTCCCGGGGTCTGGAGAGCCCAGCACGCGGGGCTCAGTGTGAGGCGCCAGCCACCCCCTCGCCCCGGGTCCAGCGAGCACAGGTCTGGCCCTCGAGGCGGGCCCTCACCTTCCGGCACCAGGCCGTGGTTTTCATACTGGTCCAGCTGGACGAGGGTGGGGTTCCGGCAGCCGTGGGTTGCGCGGAGCCGGCAGGTGGTCTCCGCCTTCCAGGTTGGGGTCAGCAGCGCAAAGAAGCGCTCATACTCGGTGGGAGAGAGGGGGCTGCCCGGAGTGGAGGTCGAGAGGGAATCCTGGGCGGGGGCCGGTGCCGGAGGCAGGAGCAGCACTGCGGGGCGGGAAACAGACCACGGATGGACCCAACTCCGACACCGTGCGAGCCGGCCCGTGCACACGGAGACCGGGGCGTCTGGCCGCCGAGCCCGCGGGCGAGGGCGAGAGAGCTGGGGCGGGGGGGGGGGGGGGGGGGGGGGGGGGGGGCTGGAAGCGGCCGGCCCAGGGGAAGGCGGTTCAGAGACGGTGCAGGGAGGGCTCCGGGGGCGGACGCGCGCTCGCCTCTCAGGAGTGAGAGAAGGGAGGCGGCGGCGAGCTGCCTCATGGCCCCGGACGGTCGCCCGTGTTCCCGGGACCGAGCGGCCTCTAACGGGACGAGCCAGGGCTAGCCGGCGGGCGGGGGCCGCGGGTGCGAGGCCGCCGACGTCACAAAGGGCGGGGCGGGCCACGCGGGGTGGGGGACGGGGAAACGGACGTTTGGCCGGGCTCGGTCGGAGGGCGGGTGCGGGTCCCCGCGTGTCACGCTCCAGCACGAGAGGACAAGGAGGGCAGGAGTGATCACTGACTCGGTGCCTTGGACGGCGGAGCTCCTGTGTTGTTCCTTACGCGTGACGTTTTTTCATTTCAAGGTGATCCCATAAAGTGGATACTGTTACTAGCCCTATTTTACAATCTGCCCAAGAAGGGGTGAGGCCTGGAAGTGAGGCGCGCAGAGATGGGACGTACAACACAAAGTCTGGAGAGGGCGCCTCCAGGTAAGGAGCCGAAGGAGAAGCAAGAGGGGGTTCGGGTGAGGAGGAGATGGGGCATAAGGGGGGCTCAGTCTAAGGAGGTGGTTTCCTGGTGGAGGCAGGCCAGACAGCTCACTGGTGTAGGGCAAACTACGTGTTTTCCTGTTTTGTGTTTAAAATAAGTCAGCCTGATACTTAGTCACGTATAAAGCACAAAATACACATTTACTGGAAATTAAGTGAAAGGTATCTGAGGGAGAAAAGATGCAGAATCGTAAAGGTTTTGGAAACCCTGGTCTGAGGCACAGTCCCCAGGCAGCTCGGGTGGTTCCAGAGAAGTTGACAAGTTGTGGATTCTGGGGCAGAGGTACCACTTCTGGTTCCACATCTTGTCCCACTTCTGGCATGTCATCCTCCCACCTTTTAGCCAACTCAGAGGATGCAAAATATGCTTAGCACATGTACTGAAATAGTGTCTCTACAATAAACACAGCAGGCCAACATGTACAGCTTTTATTCACCGACCCAATTCCTTTACATATGAGATAGCTGCACTCCACCCTGCCCCTCCCACTCACAAACCAGGACGAATCCTCTTGGCACAGAGGAAGGGGTGACCCTTCAGCCAGGGCCACAGCCCAGATGATCTGGAGGAGCCCCCGCTGGAAAAGCAGGAAGAGAGTGAAGAAAGTTTATCACGCCATGGCCCCCCACGAGGGGAGGGGATCAGGAGGCTGGGGGAGGGCCCCATGCTACTGCCCCAGTCCTTAAATACAAAGCAAGGGGAGTAAAGAGGACCATCCCTCAAAAGTACAGCACCAACCTCAGCATGGAGGCAAAAGGACAGTGGGCAAGACCCCTTCCCTCTGAAGGGGGCGGGCTGAATGAGAGCACATACCGTTAGTGGCTGCAGCAACCCCCGTACCAGGGTCTGGGTGCAGCCTCAGCACCAGGAGTGGGGCGGGGAGGAGAGGGGATGACACCTCTGCGCCACCCACCTCTCCCTGACCTCAGTCAGGCATCCCTCTCCCCACTAGCCCAGGTCAGGGGATGTGGAAGAAACTGTGTTGGAATCCAAGGCCCTTGTCTATTTCTTCTTCCGTTCTTGGGAGCAGCGTGGGCAAAACCTACAAAGGAACGTGACAGAGAAGGGGGAGAGAGTGAGCGAAAGGGAGGATGCCCTCTGTCACTCACTCAGCTCGTGACAGTCCAGCCCCACCGCAGCTCTCACTCACCACTTCCCCCGAGGCTTGGTGGTCAGCCCCACACAGGCAAAGTGGAACCACTCGATGGAACACTGGGAAAGGAAGAGGATGGAAGAAGCAGAACTCAGGGACCAGGGTGGGGCAGAGGAAAGAAAAGAACCCCCCCCCACCCTCCATTCCCCCCCATCCCTTAGGAGTACTCCCTTATTCCATCCCTTGGGAGAATTCTTGAAGGGTCCAAGGCCAACCAACTCCAACTACCTTTCTCCTATCCTGAAGTCCCCCTATTCAACCGTTACCCCCCTTCTTGTACCCAACTCCCTTCATGTCCACCAGAACCGGCCCCCCCCCCATCCTGAGGCAAAACAGTTCTTACATCAGGGTTGTCACAGCCAATCATCTCTCCATAGGAGACCTGGTGACAAAGGCAATAGGTGGGTTCGTTGGGATCCACAGGCATATCCAACACATCAGAGGGGTGGACACTGCCAAAGGTCACTGAGGGCATCCCATACTCAGGGCTTCTGCGTGCCAAGAGGAAGAGAAAGTGTCATCTGCAGGAAGGGAAGCTACAGCTTGAGATGGTCAGAGCCGGCAGAGGAGGAGGTCCTTGTGGGGCTAGTGATTTGTGGCGTCTCCTCTGTATCCAGCAGATACCAAAATGGCAAGGAGAGTTGTTGGCACAGGAGACAGCAAAGTGGCAAGGGGCACTGTGGCTGGGGTGAGGTGGCGGGAAAGAGGAGTCTGTCCCTTGGCAAAATGCTCCCTGACACACTCACGTGCGCACAAGTTTTAACTTCTTCTGGGCGGCCTTGGGGGCTTCTTCGTCGGAGTTTTTCCCTTTGGAACGAGCACGGGCAGCCTTCTTCTCCTTTTGAGTCCGGCCTTCTAGGCAAGAGGGGGGGAAGCCAGAAGGCAGGGAGACAGAAGGATGGGTTAAGCCCCCCTCCCCCTGCCCCTCCTCCAAGCCGGTGGCCCTCCCTCGGAGCTGAGGAGCAGGCTGGCTTCTCCCTCGGGGTCCTCGCCCCACCTCTCACAGCCCCGCCCCCCTCCTCACTCTTTTTGCCTTTGCTGGAAGAGCTGTCATAGTCACTTGACTCAATCTGCTTCTCCTTCAGATCAGCCTCAAAACGGGCCAGGTCTGTGTCCAGTCGCCGAATGTGTTTGTCCACCTGGGTGGGAAGGAAGGAGAAGGAAGAGCTACAGGGCTGGTTCCAGTTAAAGAAAACAGGCTGAGGCAGATTCTATGGATCTCCCAGACCCAAAACAGATCCCAACACGGCTGAAGGAGGGGGTCTAGGACCCTGAGGAATAGACGGGAGGCAGGTGGGGAGCCATGAACAGGGCCATACCATCTCATAGGTCTGCATGGCAAGCTGCACCTTGTCGTCACCAAATCCCTTGCACTTGCCATAGGCTTCCTGGATCTGTCTGAGAAGGGCCAATTTCTCCTCGGAGCTCAGGCTGCGGGCGCTACTCATATACTCAGTGGCCAACTTGTCAATTTCAGCCTTCAGGTCTACAACAGAGACAGAGGCCTGGTCACAATGGCCCCTGAGTGGCTAGGTGGAACACACTTCTTCCTCTTGCTCCTTGGACCTTTTCCATTGACCATCATAACCTTTGAATTAAAACGTACTGAACATTCCTAGGTACTGTGCCACGTACTCAAGTAATGCAACATGTTCACAATATGTGTTTCAAAGGTGCCTCCGGGTGCTGAAAACATTGCTATCATAGTTGGAACTGAATTTATTGAACCATAATGAGGGATTCCTGGCATGCGGCACTAATACGAAGTGTGTTTTTGTCGCTGTCTGAAGATGCTTCTTTGCAGGGCTTGCTGCCTCTTGAACCATGAACTTTGTCTCAAAAGCCATCTGGTTTCTCGTCTCGAAAACATCCCACGGCAGCTCTGAGTGCTACAGACCAGGCTGGGTCATCTGCTGCTGCTGGCTTCCAGGTCTGTACATCTATATCTCATTTAAAATTAGGCCCTGGTCCATTCACGGCACAGTTCTTCTGCTTACTGCCCACCCTGTTTTGCTCATCGTTTGCAACTTGCTTATATTTCCCATCACTTTTTTTTCTGTTTGTTCATTTTAGATATTGCTCCAAACGTTTCTGCAAGGCTGGTGACGTCCCAAGGCACTGAGACTTTAGATGCCCACCGCCCAATATTTGGTAGTGCTCACAAAACATGTCGATGGAGAAAAAAGTATGACTGCAACACGGGGCAGCAATAGGTAACAGGGAAGACCTGCGCGCACACTAGGTTTACGCCCCGCTTCATTCGAGGCCCTTGGAGGAAGCTGGAAGAGCATGTATGTACTTCAGTAATCTCCAACTGGTCTTTCTGTGCATGAACTCAAGAGCTGGAACTGTATTACAAAGCAAGGAGCTGGTGCTCAGCATTCAGCAGGGAGTTCTCAGGGGCCTACGTCCAGGATTTTAGATGATGTTCACCTTTTCACGAGTAAACTTACCAAGAGTAACTTAAATCACAGCTTTAGGTATCCTAACAACAGCTTGTTATATCCTTGGGCACAGTTACATGAGGATGCACCTATATATCCATCAGCAGGTGTGGGGGGATAGCTCCAACAAATACCTTTGACTTTGAAGAGACAAACCTGACCGCTGTAGTGTGGCCTCAGGCTCCAAATGAATGCCTCAATGCAGCCCAACTTGCTCAATGCCCAGGCAAGGCCACAGACGGCACCCAGTGCTTCTGTGCCGCTGAATATAGTGTAGAGATCCTGATGTTTGCTAATTGCTGCTTTTCCTTCTTTTTTCCTTTCTTTTTAAGATCTTCTCATGCAGCAAAGTTCCTGTCTACCAACATGAGTTGCAGTCTAAAGCCACAGTGAATTTTGTGACAGTAACATTAACAATCCAGTGGTATAGAAACATTCTAGTCTTCCTGTAAACGTACTGAACACGGAGAACAGAAATGATTCTAGGAATGACTTTGGTTTTTTAAATTATTCTTGAGGGAGATATAAAGAGCACAGCATCTTTGAATTCTTGAGGCACGGTCACAATACGCCATGTGTTATGGAAAAGCTGACACACAAATATGGGTCATTATTACTCTCCTTCTAAGAACTGCAAGAGAGTGAGAGAGAGAGAGAGAGAGAAGCTGCAGCAATCCAGACCAGATGATATGCTAACACCAAACAGAAGAAGAAACGATCACATACACACTCACTATACACTGGACTCCCTACTCTGTACGTACCCTCTGTTCTTTGGTCCAGGTCCCTCATGAGCTGGAAGTTTCTCTGCAGTTCAAATGGGAGGTTTTCAATACCTGGGGAGAAGAGGAGAAATTGAGCCTCCCTGGACGTCCTAGGCCCTACAGCTGCTTTTAAAGAACAGGTCCAAAACAACACTCGGTTTTCCCTCCTTCAAACCGCTGGATTATCTGTTACAGCACTCATCGTTCTGCTCTCAGGAGAGGTCACGTCTGCCTCTTTCCACAACTAACCCCTCCATCTCTACACAGCTTTCCCACCCTTCCTCCCTTCAGTGACTTTACAAATCAGCCTTTCCCTTTCCTTTCCTTTCAATCTCTGTCTCCAAGCTCCTTGCCCTCAACTTAAAAATACCCTCCTGGCATCCTCCACCACTCATCACACACACACTTCCAACCTGCTCTCCATACAGTAGCCAGAATGTTCTTTAAAAAACGCAGATCTGGGCTTCCCTGGTGGCGCAGTGGCTGAGAGTCCGCCTGCCGATGCAGGGGACATGAGTTCGTGCCCCGGTCTGGGAAGATCCCACATGCCGCGGAGCGGCTGGGCCCGTGAGCCATGGCCGCTGAGCCTGCGCAACCGGAGCCTGTGCTCCGCAACGGGAGAGGCCACAACGGTGAGAGGCCCGCGTACCGCAAAAACAAGATGCAGATCTGCTCAAGTCACTGTCCTGTTTATAACCCTCTAGTGACCTCCTACTGCAATATTCCTATTGCTATTCTGCACTTTCTGGCCCTTGCTTCCGTCACACCAGCCCTAACTCACGTCAGTCCCCGTCTGTGCTCTCTCTGCTCTATCATACTGCCTCCTCTGAGTGCCTTGAACTTGCCAGTGCTCTTCATGACACTTGGCTTTTCACACGCTACTCTCTCTGCCCAGAATGCCCTGCCCAGTCTTCTTCATCCCACCTCCACCATACCTCTTGGCCTTCAAATTCCTGTTCATTCTTCAAAGTTCAGCTCAACCCTGACTGCCCCAAACTCCAACAAGTGCCCTGGATTATGCTGTCATGCTATTTTTTTTTTTTTTTAAATACGTATTTCGCTGCGCAGGGTCTTAGTTGCAGTACACGGGATCTTTGTTGCTGCATGCGGGACCTTTTAGTTGTGGCATGTGGGATCTTGTATCTGCAGCGTGTGGGATCTAGCTCCCTCCCTGACCACGGATCGAACCCAGGCCCCCTGCATTGGGAGTGCGGAGTCTTAACCACTGGACCACCAGGGAAGTCCCTGTCGTGGTATTCTGTGTCTACCCTTTTGGGCTCTTATCCAATGTACTTAAATAAGTAATTGTGTAATTAGTTATTTGGTATGTCTCCCCAGCTCTCCAGAAGGGCTAGATGTATCTGTCTTCTTCCCTATTTCTCTAGAGTTTAGAACTATGATGTGCATACAGAGGATCCTCAATAAATACTTGAATAAATGCATGAATACTTAAGTCTCTCTCATAAAAGAAAAATCTCTTCCCATGACTCCACTTCCAACTTTTAAAATGCCTCCACTGCTTTAACCTATAAACTCAGGTTCACCACCACCAGTTTACTGAGACTAAGCCATCATGACTTACCAGGTCAAATGATGGGTTATCAGTCCTATCCTAAAAAAATTACGTTCGCAGGATCAGGCACCATCTTCTCGTCTTCGAATAACTTTCTTCCTCTTAAGATTCCAAATCTCATCACATACTTTCTAGCAATTCCATCACTGACATTTCCTTAGCCTGTCCCTTAAATGTTAATATTTTCTTGAGCTTACACTTAATTTAATCCTCTAATTTTCTCACTTGCTTTCTCTGAATGATCTCCATCTTATTTACTCTTACAGATACAATTACCATTCCCATGCTTAAATCTAAGTTGAATAAATATGTTACTGTTACTCCTGAATTTCCTATCTTGTTGATGATTTACTCTCTACCTCACTTCCCAAACAGGAAATAGAGAAGTCACCTTAGATTCCTCCTTCTCTCTCAACCACTCAGTCAGTCAATCCTGTCACATTTAACTCCTAAACACTTCTGTCACTCCCTGAGATCAGGTCCTCATCTCTGACCAGGACTGTTATCCCTAACTGATCTCCCTATTACTAATGTCATCATGCTCCAATTTATCATGCAACATTTATTTTCCTTTATATAAAAAAAATCACTCTATTTAGAAAATCTGTTGGTTCCTCGCTATTTAGAGTGCACGCTGGTGGACTTCCCTGGTGGTGCAGTGGTTAAGAATCCGCCCACCCGCAGTGGTTGAGAGTCCGCCTGCCGATGCGGGGGACGCGGGTTCGAGCCCTGATCCAGGAAGATCGCACATGCCGCGGAGCAACTAAGCCCGTGTGCCACAACTACTGAGCCTGCGCCCTAGAGCCCGCGAGCCACAACTACTGGGCCCGCGTGCCACAACTACTGAAGCCCGCGCGCCTCGAGCGCGTGCTCCGCAACAAGAGAAACCACCGCAATGAGAAGCCCGCGCACTGCAACAAAGAGTAGCCCCCGCTCACCATAACTAGAGAAAGCCTGCGGGCAGCAACGAAAACCCAATGCAGCTCAAACAAACAAACAAATAAATAAATATAACGTGCAAGCTTCTTAGCTTGGCTTAAACGACCTTTCACAACCTAGCCCCACCTACCTTCTCCAGTCTCGTTTCCCAATCTTGCACCTCGGAGTCCTATACATCAAACACCCTGGCCTCACTTTTCCCTGGCTTTGCCACAAACCCATCATAACACCTTTGCTGATGCTTTCCCCAACGTGCAATTCCCTCTCCCTCTCCGCACTCAACCTTCAAGTTTCTATACATCACATCCTCTGTAAAGCTTTACCTACACCCCCAGGTAATGAGCCCCTCTTTCTCCAGTGTTACCTACTGTCCTTTTAATGTATTTCTATTATTTCATTTGTCACACTGTTTTATAAATATTAGCAGAACCTGTGTTCTACTAGACTATGAGTACTTGAGGGCAAGAGCCGGGTCTTACTCATTCTTGTATATCGCCAGTACCTGCCATTATGTCTGACCCATAGCAGAACCTCAAAAAACGAATGAATTAATGCCTCTCAACGATAAGGCAAATGTAAGGGCATAGGGTGACGGACTCTGAAGAGGTAGGTTACACAAATGGCATAAACATAACACCATATTTCCACTTGATGGGAATTGGATCTTTACTCCAAGAGGAGAAGCCTTCCGGTTCATCATCTGACAGTGGTCACTCGTAACCCCCCATCCCCACGAGAAGCCGCTTCTTCGAAAGAACTGGTTGGAGGAGCCGCGAGCAGATCTTCATCGCTGCTCCAAATGGCAGTGGATGATATATTAATACGAAAACGACCGATTCGGAACGATTTTAAGAAAATGATATATGCTGAGGCCAGAGACTCTGCAGACGGGGGCAGCAAATATCTCCCCGGCTATGCCCACCAGCCCTTCAAGAGCCGTCCCCCAGCCCTGCCGCGCAGCCCCTCCCCCGTCTACACCCCAGAGCGAGGCCTCGACCCCGGTGCCCCGCCCCCTATTTCTTCACACCCTCCAGTATTTTCTCTCGCTCAACCCTTCACGACTGTGACTTTCTGACCACCGAGACTTCGGAGCCGTGAAGCTCCTCAGCCCCGATCCCCCCAACCCGTCTGTGACCCCTGACCCCCTCCTCCAGCCTGCTCTTACTGTCCAGATAATGTTCCAAATACATCCCCGCAGCCATCTTGAAGCAAAACAAAGCAACTTCCGCTCCGCCCCGGAAGTGACTGAACGCGAAGGGAGACGGAGCGCTCCTACCCGGCCTGGAGCCCTTCCGCCCTCACGAGGGGAACTTTCCGCCCTCACGAGGGGAACTTTCCGCCCTCACGAGGAGAACTTCCGCCCTCACGAGACGAACTTCCGGTCTGAGTACAGGGCCCGCCGAGTTGCCTTCGCCTGGCGCAGACACTGGTCCGTGGCGGGTCGGCCGGGTGCGGGGCCGGCGGCGGTGGCCGCCGCGGCCGAGGGCGCCATTTTGCGTCCTCGCTCAAACGTCCATCCCTTCCAGGACGGGGACGTGCGGGCGTGAGAGCAAGGAAACCTGTCTCTTTGGGCTTTCAGTCCACAGAGAGTCCTTCTCAGCAGCTGGGGAATGTGAATCGGCCCCTTGGCGGAATGTGAAGCTGGCGATCAGGGCAGGTGCCTTCTTCCGCGTCGCTAGTTTCTTAGGAAGTTGAGGAGGCGCCTGGCGGTGCGAGGTTTAAATCCTCCCGGTTTCTGTTCACTCGCGCGAACACCAACTCCCCAGGAGTATGTTTTAACGTGGAAACAATTGATTATTTATAAACTCTACTTATAAATACAAAGAACTACTCACACAATAAAGCTGCGACTCTCCACACCTTATGTCAGGGTTCCTGTCACTTGAGGACGTTCTCGCTTGTAAAGTGACAAGAGTGCTTCTGGCCTTGCCCTCCTGTTTGTCTCCCTTTTTATTCGAGTTTGGGTACGATGTTAACCGGCACCGTAATTCTGAAAGGATTGGGGCACGGAGCTGTCACAACGGGGCCAGTTGGATGCCGACTATCACCCTGGTCCGCGACATCACAGCGACAACTACGCTCCTCGTCCGGATGGAAAGCCACCAAGTGCACGACAGGCCGCCACCACACCAGGGACGCAGAACTCAACGCCCAGAGCCGGAGAGTGTTAGGAAGACCGTTTTGGAGATCATTGTCACCCCAAATCACGCGTTCTTAATAAGTATTAATGTCACATGGCAGGTTTTGGTTTGGGGTTTTGTTTTTGTTTTTGTTTTTTGGACTGTGCCGCGGCTTGCGGTTTGTTCCCCGACCAGGGAGTGAAGCCGGGTGGCGGCTGTGAGAGCCCAAGATCCTAACCACTGGGCCACCAGGGAACGCCCACATGGCAGGTTTTCAATGAAACATTTCAGCCACATATTTTAGCTCAAATATGTAAAAAAGGGCAAGGTGAAACCCCAGGTTTACTACTGAGCAGGTGGTAGATAGAGCAATAGAATCTAGAAGACGCCCCTCTAGTTGCAAGCGGCAGACCCTTGGATTATCTAATCTCCGTGCCTATTTCCTTGTCTATCAAAATGCCTGGAATCCTGCTTGCTTCATAGGGGTGTTGCTGTTCAAGTGTGGGGGTACCCTTCAAAAGAGATGCTGGTTGTAATAATACCCGTGATGAAGGTAGGGCTCTCAATGTCAATTCAACAGTTGGTGAGAACAGGGGGGAAACGTAGTAAATATGCAGGAAACACACACTGCACGTTCGGTCATATGTGATACAGTCGTTAGTATCACACCACGGACTGAGACTATCTTGGATGCCCACACAAGAGCCCGAGCCATAAAGCTAAGAGGTGTTGTTTCATTGCCTATCCACACGCCACCAGCTAATGAGCGTGGCTGCCCAGCAGTCCCACACAGGACGGCCACGTTGTCAGACGTGGGAGCTTTGTCACAACTTTTTCAGTGCTTAAAAGATTTTTAATTTTCAGGAATCTTGGAGGTGATCTAGCCCAATCCCTTCATTTAACAGCTGAAGAAGCATTGCGGCCGACACTGGTTGATGGGAGAGCCAGGGCGGAAGTCCAGGTTTCCCGCCCCTGCTCTGCCCCTCAGCACTACAACTGTCCTGTTTCATTCTTCAATCCCGGTTATGGGTTCCACCACTGGAAACCTCTGGTTTTAGGTGCCACAGGATATGCCAGCTGGAATTAGCACTGAGCCCACAGATGCTCTGGCAGCAGTGCAGGTCCTTCCAGGAGGCCGTGCTTCCATTTCCTGGATAGGGAGAGCTTCGAGGTATCTTGTTAACACACGACTGAACCCTGCTCTTACACCTTAGGCGACACAGTCCTCACAGCAGGATTTGCATGTAGGAACCCTCATAAACCAAGATTTCACTTCAGAGATTTCAAAGTCGTGCCCTTCTATGGCTAGGGATACACACACAGCCCCATCACACAGCATTCGTTCTTACCGTTCGCACACTCTACTGTAAATCCTTAGTACTGGCCTTGAAAGTCTCCCCAAATGGCTGTTTCCCACGCTTATACTCACATCAGTAGCTCCACTGCCTCTGATCCTTTTACACGAATTTATTTCTATACAAGGTTCTAAAAACACCCCTTGGTTTTGTACATAAGTTTTTCTTTTTTTTCCTCATTTTAAATTACTTTATAACAACTGGTTTCCTGATTTTTTTTTCCATTTTCTCTTTTCTCTGAAATCTGCCATGATTTTAAAAAAAAAAAAAGACGAAAGGAAATAAAAATGCCATTGGCCAGAAGACAGGGTGGAGAAAAACAAAAGGGACAAAAATAAACATCAAATATGAAAATTCTCAGAGATAATGCATTTATAAACACAGAAATGGTTACAACAAAGATGGCCGTGATGAGTGGGTATATATATATTTATATATATATATTTATATATAAATCCGTGTCCGGCAACTGACCGCGGCACCTAGGGAGCTAAGTCCAGTCCTTGCATCTGCCCCGAACTCTCCCTTCTCTGCAGCCCCCTTATCGTGGGGTTTCATAAAGAACCCGCAGCTCCTTAGGTTGGGGACGGGGAGACTGAGCACAGGGCCTCGGCTGGCAGAGAAGGGGAGAGGCTCCAAGGAAAACCATAACCCACACTTCTAAGCCACCGTCGGCCATTTTGGGGATCTCCGGCCCCTTGGGGACCACATCTCGGCCCTTGCCCCTTTACAAATAAAGGGGGTCTGACCCGCCCCAGACCTCCCTCCAGCATCAGGTAGGAAGTGAAGTGAGATCATGAGGGGAAGAAAACGGCTCCCAGGGACAGGGGCACGGGAGGAACCTCTGTTCTTTCGCAGGCAAGAACAGAACAGGAGGCTGCTTGCATTTAGGGCTCCCTCCTCTGTGCCGTCTGGGAGTGCCAGCCTCTAGTCCTCTGTCAGCCCGAGCTTGGAGGATTACGAGGGTGAGGAGAGAGTAAGTGCCCACGCTGGAAAAGTCTCTATGAGGTCATAGCAAACCCCTCCCCTGAGCACCAACCCCCGATGTTAGAAGCTACGCTTAGGCGGGAGGCTGCTGGATTACGCGACCAGCTCAGTACTCCTCTGCCACTCAGGAGGGCTGACGTCCCTTCGGAAGAGGAGCTGAGACAATAAGGATGGTATCCTGTGAGAGAAGGCCATGCCTGAGGCCCAAGGAGATGGAGCCGTGGCCTGTCAAGGAAGAAGAGGACTTTTCCCACCAAGAGGAGCTGGAGAAAGAAGGGACCAGAGCCTCTTTCCCCTCTCCCCGGGGGGCGGCAGCACAGGTCTCTACGAGCTGGCCAGGTGCTCTACCTGGATGGTGCTGGTGGTGACGGTGAGGCAGATGTCCTTGTGGTGCTCTGCCGTCTTATAGGGGGTCAGGTCGAAGGAGCACTGGGGCGGGGGATTGGGGTTGCTGTCCCCGCCACCCCCGCCCTGGGGGGCCGCCCCCGGGGACTGGAAGTGCGGAGGCTGTGGCGGCTGCTGCTGTGGCTGCTGCGAAGCCTGGGAGGCCTGGGCCTGGGCCTGCGCTTGGGCCTGCGCTTGAGCCTGGGCCTGGGCCTGGGCCACTGCCGCCGCCGCCGCCGCCGCCTGCACCTGCTGCTGGAGATCAGGAGGGTTGTGTTTGCGCATGTGCTTCATCAGGTACGTTTCCTGAGGGGGATGGAAGAGGGGTTGAGGGAAGAAAGAGAAGGAAGGAGGCTCCCTGTAACCAGCACCCTGGGCTGTTACCTTGAACAGAACGACACTTATACAGAGGTGCTCTGGAGCCACGCAGGTTCTCCCCATGAGCCACTTTCAGTGCTCGCACCGGGTGGACAAGGTTGGGGGGGACCTTTAGGGTAACCGTGGGCATTCAACTGGCACGGGGAAAGCTGTCACTTTCTCAAAGATCTCTGAATGGAACAACCTGACCACCTTTTTCTGGAGTCTAATGGAAAACACCTAACTGAAATCTCTCGTCTCTCACAATTTCAAGACGCTTTCTTTTGTCCTGTGTCTAAGTAAAATGAAGGATCACTGCTGAGCAATCGCTATAGGCTTAAGGGACCAGGCATCCCCCAAATCCTCAGCTCTGCGTCTGTTCAATTTCTGTTCTCTTTACTGATCCCGGCAAGGGGGAGCCAGGGATGGATGGGGTGTATTCAGTGCGGCAGCTCTTTATCGGAAAGGCGGGGTGAAGCCGCGTGCGCGGGGTGGGGGGGGACTCCGAGCGCTCACCGACGTGTACGCCCGGCTGCAGATGGTGCACGTGTACACCTTGGCGTGCTTCACCGTGTGCGTGGACAGGTGCACCTCCAGCGAGGTCGCGTCCGTGTACGCCCGGTGACAGTTGTGGCACTTGAAGGGTTTATCTTTGTTGTGCTGCCGCCTGTGGGACTGAGAAAACAAGGAGAAATCAGGACGGCTGCACCAGACTCTGCCCTCCTGCCTCCTTGACCTTAATGGAAAGCCCTGGGCTGGGCGCCAGGCCTCCTGGGTTCTCCTACGTCCGAAGGCAGCAGAAATTGCTTCAAATGAAACTTCAGACGCTACCAGCTAAGGGAAGCAGCATCCTGCAGGATGCTTAAAGTCAGAATGGCGGCTACGCCTGGTCCCACTAGTCCAGTGGTTCTCAAAGGGAGGCATGGGGACTGCCAGGGGACACCAAGACCTTTTCAGGGGGCCTGCAAGGTCAAAACTATTTTCAAAATAATAATAATAATAAGACACCGTTTGCCTTTTCACTCTCATTCTTTCATGACTATACAGAGATTACACGACGTGTAATATCGTAAAGACTGAACGCAGCAGACAAGAGAATCTCTCTATCTTCTGGTAAGCCAGACATTAGAGAAACGTGCATAAACAGAAAGCAATGCCGTTCTTCTCACTAAACTTTTTGCGGGGAGGGAGGTTAAGAGATATGTTATTTATGTTAATGTACAATGGGGTTTGTTATTTTTAAACAAATGACTAAATAGTTTTTCAGTTTCCTAATGTCTACGTAATTAGGTGGTACCCACATCAACGAAAGCTCTTTGGGCTCCCCAGTGACTGTTAAGAACGTAAAGCGGCCTGAAAAAGCTTGAGAACCACTGTACTGGTCAAACGGCACTGTGACCCCAAGTCTTAGACTCAAGGCCTCGTGTGGAGGGTGGAACACCTACCTGCAGGTTGGAGAGCTGTGTGAAGGCTTTCTCGCAGCCCGGGTGTGCACATTTGTACGGCCTATCCCCGGTGTGGATTCTGCACGGGACGAGAGAAGAAGAAAGGGGAAGGACATCAGCAAGGCCGCTCAGGGACCAGCGCCTTAACAGGCCTCCTCTGGGAGCACAGGGCGGGTCTCCAGGAGACGCCGGCTCAGGCCAGCGGGCCCGACCACTGCTCGCTGCCCGCACCACTCCGCTCAAGCTGGGCTCCTCTCTGCTGGCGGAGGGCCGGGGGCTTGGCAGCCAAGGCAGCTCCTACAGTCACCGGCCCTCACGAGGGTTCAGAAACGTGAGATAAACACACGGCGAGAAAAAAGAAACACATAACACTTCTCCCTTGGCCCCCAACATACAGCCAGAAACTACCCCTTCAGCCTTAGCACCAATCCCAGAGCAAGTTCTGGGGTCAAAGAAAAGCACAGAGTTATGCGAACTGTGAAGGGCGGCAGCAACATCGATGCTGGTGGAAGCTCCCTGGGGCTTTTCCCAGCTCAGCCCCTAACGGCAGGAAATGCCTAGTTTAGTACTGATCTGACCTCTTTCCAAACACTATAGGGCCCTCTGCTGAGACGAGCCAAGGACTTGAAAGTTGGCAGACCCCTGCTCCTCGGCAGGGACTTCAGAAGCATCTCTGTGACCAGGTGCTTTTCGAGATCCCGGGTATGAAATCCTGAAAACCTCGCAGGACACGTCTCCTTGTGAGAAAAGCCCGATTCCTCCTCTTCGAGAAGCAAGCTGTCGGACCACTTTAAGAGGGATTGCCACCTCCAGAAGCAGCCGGGAGAGGAGACCTGTAGCCAGCAGGAGTCTGGACTCCAGCTCAACTTGAGATCCCACTGAAGGAGACCATCAGCTCTTCCAGGAGGCAGGCTCACCTCCGAGCCACTCCAGATTCACGGGACAAAGTACGCATCCTTACGGAGTAGGAGCATTTTCGTCTCATTTGCCGGTTCTCTGTGAACATTTATGCTGCGCTTTGTTCTCTCCTGTACCCCTGGCATCCCTTGGAGCCTCGCTTGGTGCTGTAGGTGTCGCTGAGTTGGTACCCAGCTGAAGTCTGATTATACCTCCTCCCGTTCATAATCGGTGCCCTAAGGGCTAGAGGCATGGTCTTCTCCGACCAAATGGCCCTGCTTTGGCATCGAGAATCTTGCAGGATGTGTGCACAGGTGTCTCCAGGGAGGGAAATGAGGGAAGGAAACGTCGGCTCTGCTCCCAGTGAGTTTCCTCCTCCCTCGGATCAGGGAATGTCCCACAGTCACTGTGTCTCCTCGGCGCTGCTTCTGCCCCAGAAAGGCTCTCTGAGCATCCACTTGCGTCTCCAGTCTTGCTTGGTCTTCCTCCCAGATGCCAGCTGTGCTCTCCTCCGGCCAGCTCTCTCCTCCAGCCAGGTCTCTCCCCCGCCCCCCGCATGCGGGTTGTTGTGTGTGTCCGGGGCGGGGGTGGGGAGGGCATGCCAGCGGGGCGGGGGCAGTAGCCCGCCACTCTCCCTTACCGTGTGTGCTGCTGGAGGTGGGAGAGCTGGCGGAAGGCCTTCTGGCAGTAGGAACAGTTGTAGGGCTTGGCCCCCGAGTGGATACGGAGGTGCTGGGCCAGGTAGGAGGTGTTGGCGAAGGTCTTGGAGCAGTGCGGGCACTTGTGGGGCTTGATGGTCTCCGTGTGCATCTTGGAGTGGATCCTGCCGGAGAGGAGAGGAGGGAAGGGGGGAGGAGGGAGCGGTTCGACACCACGGGCTCAGCTCTCCGCTGGGTGAAATGATGTTGCTTGACGGATGAGAGCACCCCTTCCTCCCTCCCCCACAAACCCGCGCCGGCCTGGAGAGGCTCGTGAAGAGGACACCCACATCTAGGTTGCTGCTCATCTTAAGTCGGTGGCTAGAATGGCAGTGAGATGATGAAGAGCTGCACCCCTGGCTCCTGTAACCTTAAAGATTTCGGTCTCGTCAGCCCTCTGCTTTGTGCCAAGGTTACACACTCACCACAGACACCCTGCTTCCAAACAGTAATTTGAACAAAGACCAACACCGCCTGTCCCCCATTGACCTGAGGTTGAATGCACACCTTGGCTCTGAACTGACGCATATAGTAAAAGCAGGGCCTGCTCTGCAGATTTCCGAACACAGACACAGAGAGAAGCCACATAAATCGTTGCAGACCTTGGGACCGGAGAGCACAATGTTCCAGGCACCACCCCCAAGCTGCAGGGATACGCAGTTTAGTTTTCACAGACAGCAGTGGGAGAGAATCGAGGCTCCCAAAGGGCAGAGTTGAAAGGGACAAATGAAAACATGTGGAGAAAAGAGGAGGCGTGGGCCACGTGGCCTCGGGGTGAGGGGTCCACGGCAGGGAGTCGGGGGGAGACTGAAAGCAGCCTTACCGGGTGTGCTGCTGGAGGTGAGAGAGCTGGCGGAAGGACTTCTCACAGAAGTTACAACTGTAGGGCTTGGCCCCCGAGTGGATACGGATGTGCTGGGCCAGGTAGGAGCTGTTGGCGAACGTCTTGGAGCAGTGTGGGCACTTGTGGGGCTTGGTCTCGGTGTGTGACTTGGAGTGGATCTGCATCTCCGACTTCGAGTAGAACGTCAGGGAGCACATCCGGCACCTGGGCCAAGGGAGGGCAGCGGTTAGGACCCTGCCCACCGTGAGGGCGTTGCTGAACCCGCCCCTCCACTTCCAAAGGTGCCAACCTATCTGATCTCTCTTCTATTCCAGCGACAACGCGAGGCCCTCGAGAGGAGGAGCTCTATTTTATCTATCTTTACAGTCTGCCCTTCTAATACAGCCCAACACAAGTATTTAATAAGTGTTTGCTGAAATGCCTGGACTCCCTAAGTGTGTACATAAACAAGAATTCAACCAGGTAAGACAGGAAAATCTTATTACAGGCCCTGGGCTGACACGGCTTTCACCGGACCAGGAATATCACCTAGCCTCTGTCTTCCTTCTGCCTGTAACTTGACTTCAGACTTCTAAAGAACCCCTTTCCCCAGTTTCCCGTGGAGAAAGTACATCCCTCAGGTAATCCTCAAGCTCCTGAGGTGACAATGAGGACAAACTGACTAGATTCCTCAGAGGACTTTTCTCCTGTCTCCTCAGATAACTGTCTTCTCTCAGATTTTCTCCTTTTTGCCAGTGATTTCTAGAGGGATGAGGTTAAGAATTGTCAGGGTTATTTGGAGGGGGCTTTCCCAAACCACATGTCCGGCCTCCACTCTGGATCTGATGTTCCACCGACTCCCCCCGGCCCCCGGCCCCCTGGCAATCAAGTGAGAATTACTTCTGCAACGAGCCAAGGTAACTGCTGGAGTGGGTTGTATCCCTCAAATATGAAGGAGAAAAAAAAGACTGGCAAAATACCGAGCTTCCCCGCTAAACCTTTCCTCTTTCCTAGCTCAATGCCAACACTTCGGGTTGACAACAGTATCATCTGAATACACTTTCATGCATCATCTGAGCTGGTAATCCTTCTTCCTGCTCTGATACTGCCCAACAATGCCAAATAAGGAGGCCTGTGGGCAAGGTAAGTCACAACTATTCAGACTTTACTGGGCAAAAGCCATCTATATGTGAGCTGGAACCCTATCACTCAAACAGCTCACCAGCACACAATGTAAAAGCCAGGCCACTGGGGCAAGTCCCTCCTCTCTGGGTCCCCCCCCCCAACTTCTCTCTCTAGGAGGGGCTTAGGATGGTGAAGGGTGACTTCTGCTTTTTTCCTGGTCCCAAGAGAATATTCAGAGAATAACTGAGATGCAGACTAAAAAGAACTCTGAGCTCCTCAGAGAAGAGACCACTGTTACTTGGGGGTATGGTTCCTGTATTAATGCTTCCATTAAAAATCCAATCACTGAGGCCAATTTCTAGTTCTCTAGTCACTTGATAATTCTGAAAGAAATCTGATTACCTGTTTACCAACCCCTGGCTGTTGTCTGGGATGCCCAACCATTGTGTGGGAGGGTGGGAGGTTCTGTTTATAGTTAGCAGGGTCCAAAGGACACAGCCAACAGAAGTCTGGACACCGGGGCTCTACTCAGGGTTCAGTTACAGGCTTGCTCATCAATCTAGACCTCAATTTTCTGGTCTGTAAAATGGAGAGATAAATAACTGCCCCCAAAAGGGCCAGCAAACACCCAGGATAGTCAATGGTAAGCCAAGCATTCTCTAACAATAAAACTGCATTAATGTTAGCAGCACTGCTACTATATATTTCACTAAAACTGAGGTTAGAAAACTAGACACATTGTCACTTGGAGAGGAACTGCACTAGAGTTACAAAATAGCTTCCCTCCACTAAGATTTCTCAGACAGGTGGAGTGATTTTAGCTCTAGCAAAACCTCATTAGTTTGCCTGTGAATGCTGAACACATAACTGCACCCCTTAACCTGAAATTAGTTATAGAAGAGAAAATAACCCTCTTCCTCAAAGTTTTCAACGAGGGAAGAATCTGCAAAACTTAAACTCATCAATAACGGACTGGCAACAACATGAGCTGTCTCCAGAGGTATGAGTATAATAAGGATAATCATAACAATAACACAGTAATAACGGTAGTAAGAGAGGTGCCACCTGTTGTTGTGCCTGACGCTGCCGGGCTCCAATCAGGTCCTTTAAACACATTGTTTCCGCTCCTTAAAACAACCTGGCAAGTACGATCCCTGTTCTACAGAAAGGAGCACAAAGGCTCAGAAAGGTAAAGCAATTTGCCAAAGGGCGAACAGTGACTCATTCTCACCTAAGCTTAAGACTCCTCACACTAGAGGCATCCAGGGGGAGCTGGACCATCCTATCATCAGCCAGGAATGTTTAAACACTGAAACTACAGAGAAGCCAAATAAGTACAAGCCTAATGCAAGATGTCAGGTGCTGGGAAAGAAACCCGGTTAGGAGAGCTGTGGCCCTGGGCAGTGGCCGTGTCGCTGGGCGCACAGCTCCAGGGGGCACCATTCACACCCGACACCACAAGGGTGCTCCCTTGGAGGCCTGCAAGGCAATGGCCTTGGTTACAGTAACCGCTTTGAAGTGAATTATCAATGCTTTTTTCCCTAAGATGTTCAAAAACACTTTCAGATACTCTGATTTTCCCTCAAAACATTTCCACAGGATAGATGAGGGCCATGACTGGTCTTCAAATTTTACTAGAAATAAGTTGACTTGCCCAGAGAAAAAGAACCCAGTTCCCCCAATACCCAGTCAAATGCCACAGACCACAGGAATGGATGTGGTTGACCCACACCTGTATCGAAACAGGGACTCCTTGTGATTAAAAAGATTCCTTTGGAGCCTCAGAGTTCTGAGTTTCTGAAGAAATTCCATTTACCTATAACATAATCAATCCCCCTTAAATTCAGAGTTCTCTTTAGTCACCTGGAGGTAGTGTGTGGAAAATCCTATCAGGGCTGCCCTCCAATTGTACATTCACATTTCTTTGCATATGCACAGTGTGGCAAGTCCAGAAATAGCTTTAATGTGGGTCCGGAAGACTAAGAGAGAGAAACCTTGGCAGAACCAGATGACGCTGATCCACGTGAAGGGCCCTACAGAGTGTCAGGGAGCCCCCCCACCGTTCCTGCAACAACCGGTCTTGTTCAGGTGTAGCTCCATGTCACAATGACCTCACTTTAAGCCAACACATAAAAATCCAAATTTCTACAATATAAATTTAAAAGGGATTTTCATTTTATGGAATGTATGATACCTTTAAATGAACCAAACTTGTCAAGTACCTTTATAATATGATATGATGTAAACATTGCTCAGGAACACTTTTACTGTATAAGTGGGGTACACCTGTAATAATAAAGCTGCAGTGAACTTTCAGATTATGAGCTGGAATTCTGCAGTGCTCAATACTTTCTGCATAGCAACACTCCCCTCATTTTGACTTACAAAGACGGATTTAAACGCTCTGAACTCTCCATGGTAGAAGTGTACAACACATAAAAGTAAATGCTAAATGATGACTATTTCTCATCTCTTTCGAAGTTCCCAACATTTCAAATCTCATTTGATATATAACTCCCAACAGCTGGGAGGCATAAACAGAATTCTCCCCATTTTACAGATGAGGAAACTGAGGCCCAGAGAGGGGAAAAGGACTTGCCCAGGGTCACACAGCAAGTTCGTGGTGGAGCCGGGAACTGAATCCATGAGCCCAAGGCTCTGTCCATTTCCTGTGCCGCAGTTCCCTTCGCTCCTAAAATGGGAACAACATTGCCCATCTCGGTACACTAAGGACAGACCCAGTCTCCCAGCCATGCACATCTACCCCTGTCTGTGTCAAAGCTGTGACGGTGGCTATTCCACTCTGTACACTGGGACCAGACTCCCCAAACCCACTAGGGCCCTTGACGGTTCTCAAGGGGATTAAAAGATTTCCACCTTTCAAAGGGCAGGGAGTTTAGATATGTAATTATTTTCGTATAGTACCACATGCAAATATGCTTATAATGCTTTTTGTCAATGGACGACTTAAAGGAAGTAGAGGATCAAAAGAACTTCCATGAATGAGAAAGTGAGAAAATAGCCATCTCACAAGCATATATTCCACAGGGGGAAGGGGAGGTATCCTATTCGTTCCACCTTTTTATACAGACCCCTCCCATCATCCCAACCATGCAGGGTCAGGCAGGCTCAATGCTCAAATACGGCCCAAGAACCGGTGGATAGCACACTGGTTAAGGTTAGGGGCTTACCAGAAATGTTTCTTGAAAAAACAGAAATGGAAAATGTAGAAACCAAAAAGGAGCTGGAGACAAGAGTCTCAAACCCAGTCTAAAGCCTCATTACAAGAAAGAAATTCCATTACGTCACCCCAAAATAAGTCAATGCTGAAGACCTCAAAGAAGGAAGGGGTGAAATGGGTCTGCATCCTGGGGAAGAGGAGCCAGAGAAGGGCCAGAAGCTCCACCGTCCTAACCCTCAACAGAACACCTGACATGCACGTGGATCCGAGGCGGAAGCTGCCGGAGCGCGGAGCCCGATGGGGGCAGGGAAGCTGAGAGAACCGCACCCCACCCTGCCCGGTTCTGATCCTCACCTGTAGGTCTTGCCGTCTTTCTGATGGTCATCGTCATCCTCAGGGGAGAGGACGTAAGGGTCGTTCATCTCGGGAAGCCCCGATTCCAGCATCCGCTTCTTCTTTCGGCCCCGGGGGGGCTTAGCGGCCACAGTGCCGCCGCCACCACCGCCGCCGCCTCCTTCCTCTGTTAGGGTCGATGCTACCTTCTTAGAGAGGTCAGGGACCACCTGCAGGGCTTGTGAGCCAGGGGGAAGAGCTGAGACAATCATGGGAGCCGAAATGGGGAAGGTCTGAGCTGACGAGGCTGTGGTCACGAGGGAGCCTGAGGGGGATGTGATAACCAAGCCGGGACCTAGGATTGTGAGAAAAAGGAGATGGTGTCATGTTGCCCAGTCCGGATCCTAGTCCTACGTCATTTTCCCCAGATCATGGTCTATTTAACCCCTCACCACCGCCCCCACCGCCCAGAGTATACAGGAAACCCCAAACCCTGTAGAAAGACAATGGTCTCCTAACCCCTGTCCCCACCCCGCCCCCAGTAACAGTGAGATTTACCCCTTGATTGACTCCCTTCTCTTCTCCACCTCTGAGAACAGGAGACTCCTTGATTCAGAGAAGGAAAGAATGTCACCTCCTCAAAGGCAGGGACCGCATCTTCTACTTCTTTGTATCGCCCACAATGCCTAGCGCATTGCTAGGCACACAGTAGGCACTTAATAAAAATCTGATTGAGTAATCAAACACATATCCCACTCCCCATGTCCTTGGCGCCCTCCAGCCTGGGGTACTGATCGTGGAGGATCAACACCTCAGATTGGAGAAGAGCAGAGGGTGCTCACCAGCGGTCATCAGTCCTGTCGACGGCACAGGGACCACCGTGATATTCTGGGTAACGGATGCCTGGCTATGTGGGGTCAGCTGGTCTGACTTGGACTCTGTGTCCATGCTGATGCCCGAGGGCAGGGACACCGAGGCAGGCACTGTCAGCAAGGTGGGGTAGTGGGGTGGAGCCAGCCCACAGCCCTTCTCTGGCAACAGCTGGTCCTTCATCTTGTTGATGAACATCGTGTTCTCAATCTGAAAGAAAAGGAACGGGACAGTGGCCTCTGAGGGAGAGTCCCGAGTCTGTCTGCTCCCTCGGCACCTCACACTGTCCATCCTCTGTGGGGATCAAAAGGCGGGTGGTTAGTATCTGTGCTTCCAGAGAGAAGCTGAACAGAAACACTGTGTAATTCTCAACGATGGGGGGCCTGGCGAAACAGCATGGGATTTTATCTTGCTTCAGTGTCCACGGTAACAGGACTTGCTACTCAGAGCTGAAAAAAGTACCCAGTGGAGCAGAAGCAAAAAACCAAACACCACGTACCTGTCCTGAGACCGTGGGGATGGAAGGCCAGAAGTACGGGTTAGAATTGAAGTGAGATTCTTCCATTCTACCTGAAGAAGGAAACGAGACCACATCACACTCAGGAATCATCTGAAGCAGCTGAGCAAGGGCGAAGGGGCGCTGAGGAGCTCCGGGTCTCCTCCCACAGGGCTGGGAGAGAGGAGTCAAGGCCTCAGGATCTAGCATATTAGTCCCTCTGGTCAGAGCCACTCACCACTACATCCCCATCCAACAGAGGCTACCCCAGTTCAGGTGCTGGTGAAAGAACTTACACACATCTCATTTACCCACACAATGTTTCCTGTACCCCAAATAAACAGAAGTGGTATTTCTTTCTTTGGCTGACAAAAAGAGAAATTGAAGTCCTGAGAGAGGAAGGCTCGGACCCAAGGTCCACACAAAGCAGGTCACCGATCGGCCTGAAAACAGCCAGGGTACCTGTCATTGTTCCTCTCCTTTCACCCCTCAAATCCATCTTCCTTGAAATGAACAATTTCAAGGGTTCCAACTGACATGTCTATATTTCCCTGTAGCCTGAAAAGGTTCTAGGCCAGAATACAAAATGTCCAAGAGAATTAAAGAATGAAATTGGCAAGAATCAGAATCAAGGTCTTTGGGGTACCAGATGATATCTGGGGACCACGCCCCATGGATCCCACCAAGGTCTGAGAACATCTGTGATGCTGCACTGGGTACCACACACACTGGACTGACCAGTAAGAACCTAGGAGTTACCAGTTTTAAAAGGGGTTCTAGGGAATTTCCTGGCGGTCCAGTGGTTAGGACTCTGCGCTTTCACTGCCGAGGGCTCGGGTTCGATCCCTGGTCGGGGGACTAAGATCCTGCAAGCCACATGGCACGGCCAAAAAAAAAGGGGGGACTGTTTCCAGCACCAGCACCCCAGATCTCCACCTAAAGGGATTTAGAACAGGGACAATGGTGGGTCAGAACACACACACATTACCAGACTCCTCTGTAGTTCTCAAACACTATACCTCTAAGAGTTCAAGTTCTCCTCTGTACGCGGATGACAAGTAAGCTTAAAACCTGGGGAGGGAAGAATAAGGAGCAAGAAAAGGAATCCCTCAGAATCATGTTGCAAGTCACAGATGGGTCCGGAACCCAGGCATCCCACCACTCATTTTCATACTCTGATCGCTTCTCCTAACAAGGCTTAATTGCAGGCTATTGGTCCAGAGTAGCTTCCCAAAAGCCTGGACCAGGAGAGATCCAGGCTGGCAGAGGCAGGTGAAGCGGGAGGAGTACACGGGTGGGAAGGGGAAGTGAGGGAATAAACATTAACACCGCGGTGCTGCTCCGGGCCAAGAGCGGCCAAGCTCCAAGCTCCAGGAGAGGCAGAAGGACTACAGGACGCTGTGACTTGTAGCCTGGTCACACACATGGTCCCACTGAGGACACGCTGCAGGTGGACACCAGGGATTCTAACAGATGGGTGGGTAGACTGGGCAGAGAAACTGGGTCTCAAGCAGTGACTAAGGAAACCAGGAAAGTTCTTCAGCAAAGGAGGTGAAGCAAAAGATCTCACTCTAAATGTAACGGTGTTCCTGGTCCTTCTCCAGAAGTCTCATCACATTTTTTGCTCTACTGAACAACACTCTGAATTTTCATAAAACCTACAAAGGGAAGCAGAACTGAATTTCAGCCTATTTTTCCCCAAAAGTAGCAAAGTAGAGTAGCAAATCTGTGGCTACCACAGCTTCACACAAATGAGACTCAACTTTAAATGCCCTGAGGGTCAGGCACAGACCAATCCTGCTTCCCAAGTTATAAACACAGTAAAACCAGACACTCTCCACACGGGTGCCACCCAGTTCCCTGCCAGCTTTGTAAAGGGCCTTGAGCCTCAGGCCCTCCGGAGGCAATGGATGTTGAGAAACAGTGAGATCGCAGTGTAAGGGGACCCGATCTTGCCCAGCTTTGGGGGAGGCAGGGGCCACATCCTGAACTGCCCCCAGGTTCTAAGACAGGACCCATCACCCAGGAGGCAATTCCATACTTGGTGAACCGAGTGGCAGCAGACTTCGCATACGGACCCTGAAAGCCAAGCCAAGGGCTCCAACTGGGACCCACAGCCCCCATCCCTCTAACCTTCTAGCTGAGATGCATGAAATCAACAAGGGTGGCGGCTGTGGTGGAAATGCAGTAGAGAATCAGGCTGGAGAGTAAAGGAAAGGAGGATCTAATCATACTATCCCCCTATAGAGACAAGGAAGTAAATGCATTACGGATGTGAAAATTTAGGAGGGAGGAACTGAGAGCCTGAAAATAAGGCTGTCCTCAGGATTCTGGCGAACAAGGCTCCTCCCCATGCCCAAACTACATCCATTCTTAGTGTCCTGCCAGGGGCTCAGGGGAAGCAGTTTCTGAGTCAAACATGGCCTGTAGGTTGTTACAAAGGGGCACGAAGTGACTTGGAGGACAATATCACCACCACCACTAGCATCTATTAAGAGCCCACTGTGTTCAAGGTACCGTTCTGAGCACTTTACAACCATCGCGCCATTTAATCCCACAGCAATTCTATGAAGCGGGATAGTGCAACCCCTATTTTTCTTTCTCTTTAAAAAAACATTTTACTGAAATATAGTTGATTTATAATGTTGTGTTACCCATTCTTCAAATGAGGAAACTGGAGGCAAACAGTAAATAGCAGAACAGGGATCTGAACCCAGGACCAAGAGCAAGCTAGAAAAGGGTCCTACAGGAGACCAACCCAAGTACATGCTCTCTGATGCTGGGGCTTGATTCACAAATCGAAATTTAGACTATTTCCAGAAATGGACTATATACTTTTCAGGTAGTTCTCAATAAATGCTTTCAACAATGAAGTTTTCAGGGAATTCCTTGGTGGTCCGGTGGTTAGGATTCCACACTTTCACTGCCAAGGGCCCAGGTTCAATCCCTGGTCAGGGAACTAATACCCCACAAGCCACAGCATGGCTGCCAAAAAAAAAAAAAGCAAACACCAAAAATGAAGTTTTCAATGACAGCAAAATGCAGTGAAAGATGATATTCTCTGTCCACATCCAGTGAAACCTCACCTGGCCACCAAGATAACTGATTTTAGAATGATGGGGTCTGAATTACCCCTGTCCAGAAGGGGTAAATAGAAGAAAAGGCCCCTCCACCTCCCTGGATACCCAGTCTCTCACTCTGCTTTGGTTCTTAAAAGAACGAAGCTGAAGATCAGAACCACAGCCGCTCCTAGGACAAAATGATAAACGTGTCTGTGGGCTCCTGATAAATACATCAGCCCAAAAGGGGGTGCACGGGGAGCCCTGCTTGCCCAACTGGATGCAATATCCGCCTGCAGGATGACACCGGAGAAAGGGTCAACACTGTCCTGATGCCAGAATGTGATGTAAATGGCGCCCCCTGGGGTTGTGTCACAGGGTGCCCTGGCACCAGCTCACTCAAATACCTGCCAACTGTTGTCTTACCACTTCTCCTTTCAACTCTCTATCACGCATGGAGGAACGCCCACCAAACCATCCTGACGTCCAGGTACGCACATATGAACATTCTTAAAACCTGAAGAAAGTAATGATATTACAGGGAAACTTCATCTCTACACAGAGTGCCAGTTTTCTTTTGTTTGTTTTATATTTTGGCCACGCCGCATATCTTGCGGGATGTCAGTTCCTCGACCAGGGATAAAACCCAGACCATGGTAGTGACAACACCGAATCCTAACCACTAGGCCACCAGGAACTCCCCACAGAGCATCAGTTTTGATGATTATGCCAACACATTAAAAACAAACCAGAAGGGGTTTACCCTAGACTGGGAAGGAAGAGGCAGGCTTCTATTACAGCCCCAAAGCTCAGGAGAGAAGGAAAAACACAGTAGGTGGAAAGATGATGTTGGCAGACTGAAAATCTGGGTTCTAATTCCAACTTTACTACCGCACCATGCCTCTGCTGTTCTCCAATAAGAAGGGACGTTTACTATAATTAAGTTGGACAGCATTTTCCTTTCAAGAGGTTCAGGAACTACATACTCCTTTTCCAATCTCAAAAGAAATCTTGGAAGACTGAGAAGGTGAAGAAAAAAGACAATATTAAGTTACGTCCATGAAACACATAGGAGGACTTGAACTCTTGCACCAGAGCTCTGTCCATCTGTTCATCCTTCCCCAGTGCTACCAGCCATCCAGGGATAAAGACATCACTGCCTCCAGCATTGAAGTTTTCGTAGAAGTACTGAAGACCACCACTTCTTTCCTGGTACTTACAATTTTTACATTTTTTCCCCCCAAAATAAAGCATGGTTTTCTTTTCTCAAGAAAATAACATTCTCTCACACAACCAACCTTTAGGAAATCATGAAATACACCAACCCAATTTAGTAGCCAGAGGATGGACCGAGGAATCAAAGCTTCCAGAATCTAGGTTTAGGCCCTACATCAGTAAATGACTCTGAGTAATTTACGACTCTCCTAAATTTCTACTTGGGTAGAGGATGGAAGAGTATCAAACCCCTAAAAAATTCATAAAGCACATGGAATTGAGATGGAGACAACACACAGAAGAAAAAGAATAAAATGCTCAAAGTACTCCTGAGGAGAGTTAGAGACCACTTCCATGTGATGAGGACTATTCGTGACAATTAGCAGAAATTACATAGAGACCACATAATTATAAAGGAACCACCCAAAAGTATCAGATCTATAGCCCCCAGCTTACTAATCACCAACTAGAAGAAACACTAACAAGAAACAGAGATGCAAAGAACAACCAACTCAAATTCAACTACAGAAAGAACTGGAGGGGCTTCCCTGGTGGCGCAGTGTTTAAGAATCCACCTGCCAATGCAGGGGACACGGGTTCGAGCCCTGCTCTGGGAAGATCCCACATGCCGCGGAGCAACTAAACCCGTGCACCACAACTACTGAGCCTGCGCTCTAGAGTCCTCGAGCCACAACTACTGAAGCCCGCGCGCCTAGAGCCCGTGCTCCGTGACAAGAGAAGACACCGCAATGAGAAGCCCACACACTGCAACGAAGAGTAGCCCCTGCTCGCCGCAACTAGAGAAAGCCCGCGCGCAGCAACGAAGACCCAACGCAGTCAAAACTAAAAAAATTATTAAGAAAAAGAAAAAAGGAAAGAACTTGACACATGGATCTCGGACACTCTATTGAGAAAAACTGTTCCGAAATGCACAACTGCAGAAAGGTTGCAATATTAGCTAAGGACTTGAAGTGAGGAAACACACAGGACCATTTCTCCTCAGTTAGGAAACAAATCTTTTTCTCAGGTCCTAAGGGCATTCAAGAAGGGCCATCCCAATAGGATCTGGGGACTTCCTACTGTGAACTCTCCCAAGTACAAAATAACTGAGAACAGGTTTATCCCAATTCTACTGGGAAAGACCATCACACCATGCCCAAAGAGACCAACAGGACCACTACCACCACAAAGCTGGCAATCTGAGCCAGCACCTTCTACCCTGGGCACCACTGGACCACTGTACCTGCACCCTGCAGGGAGAACGCCATAGTGGTTCCCCTTGTCCTGCCCGTTCCACTATTAACTGACGGACCTGCGCATTGTGAGGCAGGAAAGAAAAAACAAACCAAAAAAAAAGTCTGGAGAAGAGGGAATATGCACCTAATATTTAATCACCAACTTGGCTCAGAAACCTATGGGTAATAAATTTTATAAACCAGCCTGGAATTGGTTCTCAGAAGACACCTCTAAGATTATAAGCTCTGAACTCAAACTCTCTTGAGTTGATATATTGTCATTTTCAGGCAACCTAAAACTCAATCACCATCAAACCTCATATTCTGAATTCTTCCAGAGCTACTTCTGGAGTCTACTCCATACAGTTTTATCCATTTTATTTCAAACTACCCACGAATCAGTTTTTTTCCCCCAAACTTCATCCTGCCACGTCAAATTCAAATAACATCACACCACGGATTCTAATCACTCACCAGATCCACTCCAAACACTGATGCAACGTTAAGGATACAAACTCCACTCTAAACTCAGTTCTGCTTGTTCCAAACACGAGAAAGCAATTCCATTAGGTATGCCACAAAGGCTACAATGGCAACTAGGGCCCATTTATCTCCAAAGCAGAATAAATTTCTCCTTTGGACACAATGCAACACTGCTTAGTGAGCTCACTTGAGCATCTCACAACTCATTCTTGTTGAGGACTGGTGGGCATGGAAGGTGATGGGGTACAGTGCCAACTTTCGCACAAAACTTCCTGGGTATCCTCAAGAGATAATAAGAAGAGGCTGATTTTTCTCCTACAGCAAACACCAGTATTACAATTGCTATTACTTGAACAATTCTGTCACGCTGTCCGCAAAAGGGCCATTTGATTATGACCCCTTCGCCCCCCAAAACTGGAAAAGCCATTAACACCAAATTGTCTTACCCTCTCTCTCTCTTCCTCCTGTCGTCTTATTCCTTGTCCTTTCCAGGGCTCCTGAACTTTCTGTAAACAAATTGTCTGGGTTACAGGGGCCGGTAAGGGTGCAGCCACCGGAGAACTGTGGAGAACCTCAGGAATTCTTTGACCACCAGCACTCAGTCCAGAAAGCAGGCGGACCCCCGACCAACCATCCAAAGATGCAAGGACAGAACGACAGCAGTGCAGGGCCACCCGCTATGTGGATACAAGGGAAATACATCCAATTCCCAGCAACTAAGATGAACTCTACCACCAGTGCGTGGGGTCCACCCCTGGGCTCAGACACTGGTTCTTCTTGGTCTCCCGGGGCCGCAGGTAACCGGAGGCGGGGGCGGGGGTGTGTGGGGACGGTTAGAGAACAGAAGAGCTGGAAGAAGAGAAGCGTCCCTGCCTCCCAAGGATTGGCTCAGAAGGCAAAGCTGAGGACCCGGGGGGGATGCACAAGCCCTTGTGTCAGGCACAGTGCCAGTTCAGGCCCAGGCACTTCCTCTGGCCTCCCCCCCCCCCGCCGCGAGGACTTCGCCCCTGCCTACCCAAGGCCCTGCGCCAAGAAGTACCTCCCTCACCCTGCACAGTGGTCTAGCTACTGGAGACCCCGGCTGTCCCCCAAACACCTTCGCTGCCCTGAGACAGCCCCTGGGCGCCTTCTCCTGAGGTCGCCCACCACCCCTCCCTCTAAGACCCTTCTTTGGGACGCCCCTCCTTCCTCTCCAGGGAGCTGAACTCTGCCACCCACCAGACAGACACCCGCCCCCTAAACCCCCCCATTCCTCCCCATCGCCCGCTCCTCCACAACCACTTCCGGTTCCGGGACGGACACACGTACAGTCCCATCGTGGACCCCCCCTTCCCCGCCCCCCCCCCCAAGGAAAAGGGGAGGGGGAAGGAGCAGAGAGCTCGGCGCGCGCCGGCTGCAGCGGCGCGAGACTCACCCGGCGGCAACGGCTGCGGCGGCGCCAGAGCCGGAGCCAGAGAGCGGGAGGGGCGGCGTTTGCTGGGAAGGAGGGAGCAGAGTGCGGTGGGAGGACCCGGAGGGGGCGAGGGGAGGGGGATAGCGCCAGGCGAGCGCGCGGGCACGCACTTTAGGCGCGAGGCAGACCCACACACTCACACGCACGGATCGTGCGCGAGACACCCGCAGGGCGGGGGCGCTAGGCAGTGGGTGGCCCCCTCCCTCCCTCCCTCCCCTAACACTCACCCGGAAGTGGTGCCGCAGCTCGTGCTCCCGAGAACCCCGATTCCTCCACGCCCCCTCCCTCCCTCCCTCCCCCCACTGGCTCGGAGTTGAGCCGCGGCTGAGAGAAGGCGGGAGCGCCGGAAACGAAAAGGGGGGAGGGAGGGAAATAGCAATGTGGGGGGGGCGGCAATGGGGAAAGGGGGGGGTGAAAATGCAAAGGTCGAGTCATTTCCGGGAGCAGCTAGAGCACATCCGGCGCGGTTAGCGCTCCAGCATACTCAGGGCGGAAGTTACGACAAGTAGGGGCGGAAGTAGCTTCTGCCCGGGGACGCGGTATACCCTCCAGGGATGTGACGCCACAGCGGAAGTGAAGGTGGGTTCTGCTCTAAGGGCAGGAGCCGAACCTTCACGACTGCGGTTCCGGGTTTCCGGAAGGGACTTCAGGGGAAGTGGGAGGGTGGAAACGCGACAGGTTCATGAATTATGCATCAAGGTACGAGGGGCGGTATGGATTCTTAAAAGACGGGTCCTGGTTCCCTTCCCTCAAGGGGCGATAGGCAGACGTAGGGAGTTACCATTCTTTTTTCTTACATACTCTCCAGAAGGTCTCAATGCTTTGAATATGAAAGAAAGGAAAAGGATGTGTCAGTAGTTTTCTTGAGGTCCCTCCTTAGGCCCAAAGCGTGACAAATTAACCCCCCCCCCCAGGCCTCAGAATCCGACCCCTGCCTAACCACACCCCTTACTCTCTTTGCTTTGGTCTCTAAGTTCTTGTGGCCCTCTTCCACATCTTTATCTCCTACTCACCCGGCTTTACTTTTAAATATAGCACTCACCTCTACCTGATTCTATATTGCTGGATGTCCTCCTCTTCTCACTGGAATATCGGCCCCACGAGGGCAAGGACTCTGAATTGTTCGCTGCTGTATCCTCAGAGCCTGGCACTTAGTAAGCAGTGGGTAAACGTTTGTTGCATCAATGAACAATTAATGTGAACTCTTTCAGGAAGCCTTCGTTGATTGCTCCAACGGTCTCGTTCTCAATTTCCACAGCATTTAGTCCGTACCTTTTTTTTTTTTTTTTTGGCTGTTTTAACTATTTCATATATGTGACTCTTCAGCAAGTTTGTCAGCAACTCGGGAGAAACTGTCTCATACATGGTACCCTCCCACTGCTTTGTTGAGCACACAGTAGATGCTAAATAAATACATGCTATTTGAGTAAATGAATGCTGCCACCAGCCTGTCCCAGATCTGACCAGAATCCCTCTGGGCTCAGCTCTATTTTGAGTGAAACAGAATCAAAGTGCCTCCTATTAACAGTAATAGTTCCTTGCTTAGAGATCAAAATAACCCCGATAGGAATAACTGTAATGCCAAATTTTACATATAATGAACATAAGACTCTGAAGACTTAAGTGATTTTCCCCAAGGTCACAGCTTCCCCAGGAAGTAGCAAAAGACACCTAAAAATAAAAATTCCAATTAAATGTTTAAATAGAAGATATGTATTTGTATCTTTTTTAAAGCGTCCGCTCTCTTTATCACATTTTGTGACTCTGTAACCTGTCTGTGTCAACCCAATAGTGACACAATAGGATAAGGGTCTTAAGGGCGCAGATGTGACCAGACGTAGTTACTGTATGGGTTAGAGATCGATGATTTGAGAAACCTTGACTTTGGGGGCAGAGATAGAAAAGTGGGAGCAAAATGGTGGTAATCACTATAAGTTCTGGTTCTCTTTCTGTTCTTCTCCTATTTACAATAACTGGCACCCCCCCGGGCCTCGGTGTCTCCAATTGTCAACCCTGCTGCTGCCCTTGCTATAAGAAGCAAGTTTTAGTGCTTTGAACTCCTTAGAGAAAAGCTTTAGAGAGATAAATGTGGGGCGTAGGGGGAGGAGGGCTGTTAATTTTAGCCTGGGGTTTTCCAGCTGGCACACTGTTTCCATCTTGAATCACTTCCACACCCTGCGCTCTGCCTGGGAGATCCCTCCTCCTGGGGGCTTCCCCACTCCCTGGTTTGGTCTGAGCCACAATGGTAAGCATTCCAGAAAAATGCTTAAGAGAAGCCTGGCTTAGTCATTTGATGCACAGCTCAGGAGGCAAAGAAAGCATACAGATGAGAGATGCGGGTCCCAGTAGTGATGGGTGGCCTCCAAGAAGCAAAGGGGTAGTATGGCCACTGTTTGTGTTCTTGGTCTGTGACTAAGCAGTGACTCCTTTGCCACTTGGAGCCTTCTGAGGACCTCCCGAGGCCCCATAGTTTCAGTTTCAAGACTACATGAGATAAAGTTAGGATCCTTCCCCAGGGCCTCCTGACTCTTCCTGGTTAGCATTACAATGGGATTTAGTTTGGGATCATTCCTTTAGGACAACTCAGAAGACTCGGACATCTTTCTCCTCTGTCTCTCCCTGCCATCTGACTTTCCATGGGGAAGGAGGGCATTTAGGGAGAAGGAACAGGTAAGAATTTCCTGTGTCTTGCTGGTGTATTTTAAGTTATTTAAATTTAGGGAAACAGCAGTCTAATGAGGTGATAATTAAGTCCCTCTTCATTAGGGACCTTCATGTGTGCCTTTTGCATATGGATGAGCCCTGGGGTCACACCGTCCCTCTGAAGAGGAAGGTGATAAGAGACATGTGCTGTCCGGGCACTTCAGCTCTTCCCCTTCTGCGCCTCCTCTTCCCCCCAACCCCCACCTGACAAGGACTAGATTCCTGTGGGGAAGGAAGGGAAAGGGTAGTGAGGCTTCCTCTCCCGTCAATCTCCTCCCCCCCCTCCTCCTCCCCCTCCTCCTCAGGTCCGTCCCTCACTGCCTCCAGCCCAACCCAGCAGCACCTCTTCCTGCACTCTCAGGTCTCATCCAGCCCTCTCCCTTCCACCAGCTTCAGGCTGGGGTCTCTTCAGGTCCCACTGGGTTGACGCTGAGCCCGCCTCAGCAGAATGTTTGCCTCGCACCTCTGCTTTTAGCTGGTTCATCACTCCTTGGCCCGGATCTGCTTCTTTCTTCTTTTTCTTAGGGAGTCTGATGACCCGAACCCACAAACAGCTCTGATCCTGAGAAATACACTCCCTCCACCTCGCTCACTGTTGTGTGCTTCGTGGACTCAGCCACACTTCACTTGAGTACGCAGTAAAGCGCCCCAACCCCTAAAGCACCCACCTACAGATCCACAGACATTCCTGATTCTAACTGCAAAAATAAATACATGGAGGCCAACACAGGCCAGGGCAGCCCCCCTCTTGCACGTGACCATCTCCTCTCCTCCCTGGAGCGCCCCCATTTCCAGGGAGCAAGTGGGGCACAGATGGGGGTGTGGGGAGAAATGGGACCTGGGTGGTTACCATGGCAACAGAACCTAGCAACAGCTGAGAGGCTGCCGTGTGGGTTTTTGCAGGGCTGTTACGAGAGCCAGACCTAGAACTGGGGGCTCAGAGGTGACTGATCCCAGCTGGGCAGCCCGCTTTCCCTCCTCCAAACGCACCCCTCGATTCCACGCCCACACCCCAGCAGTGCCTCTCAGAGAGGGCAGAGCGGGGAAAGCTAACGAGAGCTAACCGCGGGGCTTCTGGGGGCAGCTGTGGGTGGGGGCGGGTGAGGGAGCAAGGCTGCAAATAAAGCAAGCAGGGCAGCCAGCCTCTTTACTGCGGCTCCCTCTCATCGCTTGCCCGTTGCTCCATTTTTTCTTCTCCTTTTGCCCTTCAACCTCCATGTGTCTATCAGCGCTCTCCTCTTCCTTTTCTTGCTTGCGCCATCGCCTGTGCTTCTACGTAAGTTTCCCTTTTCTTCTACCTCCTTTTTCGTGGTCTCTCTTGACCTTCTCTAGCAATTAACAAACCACTCTTCCGGTTTCTCTCTTGCTCCGGCTGCTCCTTGTCAAGACTGCCCCCTTCAGAGTCTCTTCCTTCCATTCCATCCCGAGTCAAAGCCCCCGAATCCCAACCCCGGGTCAGAGCAGGCCAGGTCACATCGGGTCCGGAGGGGTTACCCGCACCCCCCCCATCCTTCTTTTCTTCCCTCTTAGCTGCCCATCGCCCCTCCTCCTCTTCTCTCTGTGGGGCTCATAAGGCAGAACCAGGGGACTCAGGTATCTTGCAAAGGCTTTATTTGAAAATTTTGAAACTTAACATCCCACAAGAATTCAAGATTATCACCACAAGAAGAAAGAGATAATACAAAAATATATATCACAGCATAGGAGCCAGGTAAGAGAGGGAAGTAGGAAGGAAGGTGGGAAAGCCATGAGAAGTCAGGACAAACCTGAGGGGGGGGCGGTGAAAAAGGAGGGAGAGTGGAGGAACCAAGGAGGGAGGGAGGGAGGGAGGGGCGGGTTGGGAGGCAGA